ATTGGTTGGTCTGAGATTTTAAATAGTAAAATCTAGCGTGATTTATTAGCACCTACGTGGTAGATAGAGGTGTAAGCCGTCTGCCGGTTTTTGATGAAGCCGACGACTGGCGGCCGGTGGTTGTGCTAGAGCCGACATATTTCTCAGCTTACGGCTTACACCTCTAGTGGTAGAATTTAATACTTTCCTTTAGTTGATGCAACAACAACACGATTATAAAAGTTTATTACAGGAGTCATACGCAAGGGTAGTGGAATTCGTTTTATGAAATAGGATCTGAAAGGAGTGCTGAAGTATATAGATTAGTATATATGCCACCCACACCCCACCCTGCGATGTTATCTTTGTTCTTCTTTTTTGTCTTACTCGTTAAGTGTTATTACTCTGTGCAGTACATACAGTGATTAGTTTAAATGTTCAAAATAAAAACAAAAAATGTTCGATTTTATCTTTGTTCTTATTTTTTTGTCTTAAGTTCTTTAAGTGTGCTTACTCGGTACATTATGAACTGTTCAACATATAATATCTAACTCTTGTGCAAAAAGAACACAAAAACAGTTCATTGTGTTGCTTGAATAAGTGTCTAATGTATTCATCTGCGTGCACTTGAATAATATGGATGTTTTGTCGTTTTATCCGGCTCATTTATTCATGCGTCGATAAAACGTCTGCTTTTTATATCACATCAACTAGATATGTTACATCATACGACAATCATATTACTGATAGAAAACATGTGTCAAGCTTGTCTAGAGACAAAGTACCTTTATAATCATATAGAATGTAAAAAGATTTGATTATTACATATATCGTCAATCACTATCATCTTGTTCATAGAATTGATATAAGATACTCAAGTTCAAACTTTTCACAGAACAATTGAAGTCATGAGATATCTTATGAATTTTGTAAAGTAGAACATAATAAAAGTACTCACTGAAAAAGTTAAACCATTCATTTACATTATTTAGAAAATTAAGAACCTACAAAATTGAGATTTATTTATTATAGCTATCAATTCCGTGTCTCACACACATATCACAAGTATTTGAGAATATCATCAAGATCTTGATCACATCAGTCAACTATGAAAACTACAACTATACTTCAGTCGTTCCTTTACCATTTTATACTTCACCTTCGTAATTTTATCATAAACGTTTATCCGTTCTTTTCTCCTATACTTTTAATAAGTCAATATTTATTTACTCTTCTTTCGACTTGGAACGATCTTCGCGCTTCAATAAATACTATCAGTGAAATTTTCCCTCTCTCCACAACTTATAATGTTTCTATAAACCGTGTGTCAGTTGCATATTTGTCGTTTCATATATTAGTTTTCTGATACAAAGTCTATTGATGAAATAACTGACATAACATGCGAAGTTCTATAAAATGCTAAGAGCGCTTATAAGCCCTTTTTCATTTAATAATCTATATACTAGAAGATGTAACGAAGTATCTTTCAAGAAGTCTTTGACCATTGAAAATTCCGATACTATATATACATGATGAAATAAAAGCTATGATGTTTGCTTCAATGTTTTATGTTTTCCGATCAATCGAAGGTGTGTCTTCAAGGCCTAGAAATAACATAAACNCAGACCAACCAATTAACTATAAAAACAGTTAGTTTCGACCAGATTAATTTCACGGAAACATACGAGAGAAGAATGTCTAAGCTAATTTTCAACCAATAAGATTCGACTTGCCCATAGATCCATGCACTTTGGAAACTTATCTCAAGCACATATTTTGCTTGTTTATGTGAGATCTATTATCTCTCAAAGTTTAAACTTCCTGGGGAGAACCATTCATGAGATATTCAGCGAAGGTAAAGTGTCAAAAGTGAAACTCAAAAAATTCATTTTTCCGAAAATTATCGATCAATTACTCCACGGCTCATGTGCGTCCCAAGTTTATTTTTACAGTGAGTTATAGAGAAAATTGCGGTCTTTAACACTGCGTATGTGGATTTAAGAAGTAGGGGATTTTTTGGGAGAAAATCGACGTCAAAAATCGACATTTTGACGAAAAACTTCATTTTTGTTCTAGGTATTCTGAACTAATACTTAACTCTAGCAAGCTGAAATTTATATGTTAGTTAGATAGTAACAAAATGTGCTTATGTTCAAAATTTCAGCTCTCCATCATTCTCTAATCCGGAGATATGTGTACCGAAAGTTTTTAAAAAATTGATTTTTTTGTCAAAATATGGAATCCATAAAACACCAAGCCTTCAACTAATTGAGCTGAAATTTATCGCACATGTAGAACTTTATTAGGTATCTAGATGCAAAAAAATTTAGCTCAAACAGTTGCTGCTTTGTTGAAATTTTCGGGTGCTGAAAATCGCTATTCGTGAAAATGCGTTTTTCACGGATTTGATAGGGCCTTCAGTAAAATTGCTATAAAAACCGAACGGCTCAATAGTTTTTGAATCGGTTTGCGTCTAAATGCATAAAACACTTGCCTCTATCACATATGTGAGAATGAGCTAAATCGGAGAATATCGATTGAGCGCTCTTACTGGGAATCGGTCGTGGCTTAGGTGGAATGACTCTTAAGAGAAAAGTTAATGTTGTGCCAGTGAAGAAATCCTCTCTTTTTGTTTATCTGCCTTAGCATAATTAGGATGAGCGTAATTTGCATTGAAGTGATAAAAAAGAAACTGAACTTAATGTGAAGAACACCAACAACAAGCAATTATCTATTTTGCGACATTTTATTTCAACAGAATTTCGTCAAATACTTCGTTTAGTTAATGTTGTTGAACGGGGTTCTCAGATTTTTTTTCATAGAAAAATCTAGGCTCATATTTTATCATAGTAAAAATGTATCAGAATCACGGCTGTCAAATTGTACAACGTAAAATAGACAAATTTTGACGGACTAATTAGCAGTAACACTAGCTCTTCAATCAAGCTTCGCAAGGATCACCTTTCCTTATGCATCAGCGTTGAATAATAAAATATTTCATGATGAAAGTATAAACAAGACGGTTGAAAATGTTCATGATAACCTGCTATGGAAGAAATTTTTATTTATGCAGAGTTTTAAATTCAAATTGAAGGGTTAAAAATTTTGGTAGCATGAAGGACATCATCTGTTTAAGATAAAATTTTCAAAAAACAAAATGTTCACTGTTTCCACATTGCAAAGTTAAGCGGCGAGAACGAACTTTCTACATGTACACATCTTGTTAAACTCGAGTTTAGGCACATATAGTATCAAATGAAATGCGATCAGATAAATAAAAATCTTAACGCATGAGTTCACATGTGCACATATAGAAATTGAAAATACTTTTTCGCCATTTCAATTGTCAAAATACATAGAGCTGTTTCTATTGAGTCCAAGACATCACAATTATCTCCAATCTTCGAAAATTGCTTGCTTATCCTCGATGTTCTTTTGAATCTCTTCGAAACGATTAGTGCAAGGATTTTTTGAAAGTTCAATGATTCATAATCCATTTAAGAAAAACAATTATTTCATTTAGAATAGATTCTCTAGTAGCGTCGTAGGCTCTAATACGTTGAGAAAGAATGACTTCGATAGAAACTATCTTCTTAATAGTAAATGTGGCTTATATCTAGTAAAAATTTAAGATTTTGAAGAACTTTTCTGGATTAACATCGAAATACAGGCAAACGAGGGGAAAACAACTGAATCTATGACAAAAAATTAAATTTTTAAACAATATAAGTCTTTATAAGAAACAGGTTGAATTCGACTCGCAAGTTAACGGCAAAAAAATAATTTTCAAAGATAAATATATGTTAGGAAAATTTTGTGTGAAGAACCTAGTGAAATATGTACGTATATGAATATACTATTTAAAATGTGTTTATGTTATTATAATAAAGAATGATGTCCTATATATTAACGCAATGATCATACTTGTGAATAAACGCCTGTGATTTAATTCATTGACAAGATTTATTAGATTTCAATGAAATCTAATTGTAAAAAAATATGAAAAATAATCGGATTCCTATTGTATTAATAAGATAAAAATATTGATTGTTTTTTTCAAATTCAATGATACGTTTCAATAAAAAGACGAATTTCATCTTGAATAATTATATTTTTATTCAAATAAAAGGTTCTTTGATTTATACAGAAAGAAAAATCATCAAATGAAATCGAATTTGAAAAGATTTTGTTCAAAAAAAGAAGAAAAAAGAATTGAATAAATCGATTTTTCCATTGAAATGATATTGAAGAATAAAAATGAATCTTTTCTTTTTATTTAATTAAATAATCACAGACGTTCACTAAGAATATTATTATAATCTTTTTGAAATTGATTTTGTTCGATTGATGGTCTATATGAATCCGATGAAAAACGAACAGTTGAATTTTCAAATAAATGTTCTTCATCTGTCGATCGTTTTTTTCTCCAATATAATAATCCACCTATTATTCCCACAATAACAACAACACTAACAATTGGAACAGATATTAATAAAGCCAGATTTGGTGATGATGATGAACAACGAGAATCTATTTCACTACGAGTGTAAATACCTAAAACCATTAATTTAATGATATATATTCAAACTTTTCACTTAAGCATATTATATTCAAATCAAATAACTAATTAAATTGAATTATTGAATAGTTAGAAAATAGAATCGTTCGACATTTTTTATTTTTCTTTTATAATAAATATGATTGAAAGATCTTTGAAATCATTTCTTTCTGTTTCATCTGTTATTGTTTTTAGTAAGTTTCAAATTTTCTTCAAAAATCTTTTTTATTAAATTTATTAAATTTTACTTGACACTAAAAAAATTGTTAAAAAGAAAATATTTAAAATAATTATCTATGTATTCTAATTTATACATCAAATTATAGTTATCATTAAAAACCCATTGAAGATTTCTCATTCTAGTCCTTTTAAATTAATTTACTATCCAATTAATTTATTAAATGCATAAATAAATAAATGAAAGAAAAAGCTCTTACCTTGATAACATTCAGTTCCAATACAATTACAAATACCAGAAAATCGATTACAAGAAGGACATGAACATATATAAGAACAATCAGGTCCGTAACGATTCGATGGACAACCTTTTAAAATAATATTATTCATGAAAATAATTTTAAAAAATCTATTTTTTCTTTTTACTTATATTACAATTTGTTCCATACCAACCCGAATAACAAGAACATCCATATGGATCAGGTAAACAAATTAATAAACCTTTACAATAATCATCATCGCCTGAACAATGAAAATCACAATTTTGACCATAATAACCTGATGGACAACCTTCGTTTGTTTTTCAATTAAAAATTAAAAAAATCTTTATTTAATTAAATCAAGATTAATATTACTTACTATATTGACATTCATTGCCATAAAATCCAGGCGAACAAATACATTGATTTATATATGGATGATGAATTCCTTGATAACGACATCGACTTCCAGCTATACAAATAAATAAATGAGTGAATAAAAACAGAAAAACAAAAAGAAACAATTTACAATCTGAATAATCAATAAATCTTGTATGATGAGCAGACATTCTCCGTTCTTCCAAAGCAATTGAAAGTAAACCATTAAAATCTTTTTTTAGCTTAATTCCACTAATTGTTTTATTATTTGTATTTGATCTATCACAAGTTAATTGAATTGTATCATCTGATGGTGAATTCTTATCGAAATTTAAATATTCATAACAAGCATAAAGAAGATCTTTATCAATTTGGACAAAATTAAATATTAATGATTCATTAAAACTTCTACGAAGTGCAACGCCATACTCCATTGGTAATGTTGGTCGAACGAAATAGCCTAGAAATAATTAAAATAAATTATTATTTTAAATCTAAAAACAACTCATATATATTATTAATATACCATCAGATGAAAATGATTGTGTATAAACAATAGATGCTAAACTATTTTTTGGAAAACAACCATAAAAACCAAATCTTAAATTATCTGTTTGACTTGGAAGTGTTATATTTAAACAGTTTGATGAACATTGTTTATAATTACACGATGAAGATTGTTTTATTAATGGTCGAATATCATCTTTTCGACAAAATCTTAGCCTATTTAAAGTTGTATATGGATTAATATCATATAAAGCATAATAGGATTCATCTCTAGCTTTTGATAAATGAAAACCAATTCTATCTGCACCTCTTGAAGATGCAAACCATATATAATTCAATGAATTATTATACTAATGAAATAAAAATCACCTTTTCTTAAATTTAATTTTATATTAAATCAAATAAAAACATACTGAAATATTTTTTGGCATCCAATATGCATCATTTATTTGTTTACTTTGAGATATTAAGCCAGTATAAGCATAATCAGAATTAAAGTTATTGTCATTTAACATTATTTCTAAATTTATTTTTTGAAAATTTAATACTTATTCTTATTCAAAAAATATTTTTTCAAGAAAATAAAATTGTTTTGTATTTTATTTAATTGATAATTAGAATAAAGATTCTAATCAGTCAATATTAACTCTAGCTAATAATAGAATTGTTTTTGTCTTTTTCAAGAAATAGTAGCTTCGATAACCATAGAGGAAATAAACATAAAGAAAACTTATTTTCTTTATTTTATCTTTTCATTTAACAAATCTTTTTTCTAAAACTAATTCCAATTTATTATTTATGGTAAAAAATAAATAAAACAATTTATAAAGTCTCTCATGTATCAAATGATATAGAAATCTTTATCTCATGTCTAACAAACTAGTCATTTTCCACATTGATTAAAATTTAAAATTTAAAAACTGAAAACAATAACTCAATTATTTGAATTTATTTTGTTTTCTTAAAAAAAAACTAAAAATCTAACCTTGAATTAATTGCCATTCATAAGCATTATTAGCATAAATTGGATAACCACCTAGTTCAGAACAAAAATCGATAACACCTGTTAAATTTCCTGATTGACTATCAGTTTCAAGACGATAAATAAAATCATTTTGTTGGTCAATAACTGATGCTATTGTATTTAGAAACAAAAGAAACAGGTAGATCATCAAATAATTATCTATATAATTAAACATACGAATAAGTCTACAAAGAGGATAACCTCTTATAGATTGATCATCACATTTATGAGAATATATTCCAAATATTTGAGGATTTCCACCAGATGATTGAATTATTGTACAATAATCATCATCATTATTAACTGAATTAACTTTTATTTCGAAACGTTCATCATTTGGATTAGTTATCTTTTTTAATTAGCTTTTAATAAGAAGAAAATTAAAAGAAAAGCAAAGCCTACATTTGATTCCCAAAATTGGATGCGATTTATTCTTTTTAAACCAATATAAAAAGTAAGTGTATTATTTCCAGTTGAATCTCGTTGATTACGAAATAGTTGATAAATTGTTGTTGTAAGTGTATCTAAATCAAATTTGTTATTTTCTTCTTTTTTTTGCATTAGAAAATAAAAATAAACTTTGAAGGATATCTTGTTCAGTTGAATTAAACCAATAGATTAATGTTGCATTATTATTCGAACAGAATGTTAATGCTTGATCTCTTGTCATATTCCATGGAAATGTAAAATATTTTAAACGATTGTCAACCCAAGTTTTCCCTTAATAAATTAAGTATATAAATATTTAAATGAATTTTATTTATTATTATTTTACATCCATGATCAATATTAATTGGTTCAATTGAATTTAAATCAGTTTTACTTCTACATGTTATACTTGATGGTTCATCTTTTTTATAAAGAAATGCTCGTTGTTCAATAGCAATATCATCTATTGATGTTTCTATTTAGATATACTTAGATATATAGTTCAATATTTTTTCTTCAAGAAAAAGAAAAACAAATTTATACCATTTATTCGATTATTAACAAATCTATAAATGTTTAACGATAATGATGTTGATCTTAAATAGAAAACATAATAAATCAATAGATTGAATAATACAAAAAGAAACTTACTTAGCTGAAAGAATTCCATTTCTAAGCGTACTAACAAATATCGATGATTTACTAGAGTTATTTTGAATTAATACAGGAGAATTTTCTCCATTCCATGGAGCAAGACGACCATCATGCATTGCTGATTTACATACCAATGAATTCTTTTAAAAAAAAAGATTTTCTTTTTATTATTATTTAAAACAAAAGTAAAAATCATACTCCAGAATATGTTTCATTACCAAATATTGGATATTCTTCTTGATTAGATATGTATCTCATTGTATAACATGATGATGGACATATTAATACACTAAAATACAATTGTTTTTTAAATCTATTTTATATAATCCAGGAAGAAAAACCTCGCATTTGGATACGAAGGATTAAATGTTACAGTTGCATTATCAAATGTCATAAAGCATATTTTTGATAAATAAAATTGACCTTAATTAAATTAAAATAAAATAGTTTAAATAAAATGTAAATAATGTTTAAACCATTTATAATTGAGAACTGATTAAGTAAGATAAAAATAAAATAATAATAATAAATGTCCATTAGAATATTTTCTAATCAAGAAGATGTATACTTCTATATAAAAAAGACCGACGTATGTATGTTATTAAAATGAATAATAATGTCTTCTTTTCTTTTACAAATATTGATTGTCTTTAATAGAAGATCAATATTCTTTGCATGTCCAAAGACAAATAGAAGATCGACTAAAATTTGATAAAATAAGAAAAGAATGATTTGTTAATGACACCCACTCAACTATCATCATTTCTTTTGTGTTTTCATTTGATGTCTCTTGACAAATTTAAAGAATTAGATTTCATTTCATTCTCTAATAATCTTCTTCTTCTTCTTCTTCTTCTTTTTACAATGAAACAAATCGATTATGAACAATATTATTCTATATATAAATAATTAATTGTTTTAATATTAATTAAATAAGAATTCTTATCCGAAAATCTATTTTGATATTAATTGAACATTTATCTTTGAATATGAAGGACATTTTCTATCTTTTATTTTATTTACTTCGTCAACATAAAACGATTTTAATGAGAAGTCGAACAATATATTATTATTATTATTATTATTGAGATATTCAATAATATCAATTTAATTTTTTATTTAAAGGAACTTTCTAATTGTTTAATTCATTAGATTTAGTTGTAAATTTTCTTAGAAAGAGAAAAAACAATTTATTTCTTGATATGATTTTAAAATTAAAATAAGTCTGCAATAAATTAAATTACATATTTATCTCTAATATTGTATTGTTATAGAACTTTTCATTTAATTATCTATTATGTATTTCTTTGTTATTTCGTTGATTGAATATTAAAATATATTAGCAATTCAACAAGTTAAAGTTTTGATGAAATAGATATGAATCTCTTATTTTAATTATAGATTTTGTTCAAAAATAAAATATTCTATCAATAAAACTCATTCATTCATTTACAAAAGCAAAGAAAACATAGTGATGGTTTATCTACACTGAAATCTCATTGTATAATATAGAAATACTGTTTTCAAATAATATATCGTATTATTATTTATAAAGAAGAAAAATTCATTTGAAATAATTCATCATTTAACAGATGGATGAATCCGTTTAATTTCTGTTTTTTGAAAAATTAATTTTGATATATTTTATGTGTATTATTATATAGAATTGATTTTTGAATAAAGTGAATTATTTTAATATAAAGCAATGTGATAAAGAGAAATTCTAACAAGTCCACTTGTTTTTCTATTCAATTGACAATTTGAAAAAAATATCTGAATTCTAGAAAAAGTTTTTCAATGAATGAACAAATTTTTTTCTGTACTAGATATCATTAATCACAAGTTAAGTCTACCAGTTTATGTTTTTCTACATTAATTTAAATGAAAAAATAATTTGTTAATTTTAGTTTTTTATTCAATTAAAATAATTCATTTCTAAAATTATTTTAACCGTATTTCGAAAGATGTTTACATTAGTTAAGAAATATAGTTTCGAGTTAATTGAAGAAGATTCAAAGAAATTATTTTAGTTTTTATAATTGAATAAAATAATTTGAAGAGAAAAAAGAAAGAAGAAATACTTTAATGCATAACAAGTAGAGCATCAGTTGCAACACCAGGTGTTTGTTGAAATGTTGGATGAGAAGTTCTTCCATTAGAAATTTCATGATCAATAACAGTTAATCCACAACTACTTACTGATCGAGTTGGAATTATATGTGGAGTTTTTAATGAAAAATATTTTTCTTCAAGATTTTCATTTATTCTTTAATGAAAAATAAAGATAAAACTATTTTCTTGTCAACAAAAAGCAAACCTATTTAAAATTAATGATGATGATGACGATGATGATGATTTGGATTGATTATTTTCTTTTAATTTATTTAAATAATTAAAATTCCAATATGATAATGGAAATAAACAAAGAAACGTAAATAATATTATCGAAATAAATAAATATAATAAAAGAAATACAATATAAATAATAAATAAATAATCAATTAAATCTGATAGAAATAATTTTAATATTAATATTATAAATGGTAATTGACAAATAACAGTTAATATAACAAATAATAAATAAAATATTAACGAACGACGTATTGAACGTTCAATGAAATATTGATCATTCAAAGTTGATAGATGTATTAACTTTTTTGATAAGAAAAAAAAAAGAGATTCATTTTTATTTAAAAATAAAATAAGAAAAGTTCATATTTTACTTGATTTGATATTTGATTTTGTTTTTGTGAGTAAATAGTTAAGCCAAAATGAAATAGTGTATGATTTGTTAATAAAATTAATAATATTGAAATCATTAATGATGTTATTAAAAAATACGAATAGATATTTATTGAATAATTAACAATTGACTCAATTTTAAATAAAATTTCAAATGTTCCATATGTTAATAATATTAATAATATTGATATTATTGAATGAACAATCATTATTAAACTTAAATATTTATTAATCTTATAAAATGAATTTGAATAAGAAAAATTATATCGAATTAAAAAAAGAAAGAAATTTATTATTTGACACGATGCTGCTGGATATGGATTGGAATCTAAGATAATTATTAATTCTCCATCTTTTTTAACACGTTTCATTGCATTTCCAACAATAAAATCAATTGAAGATTCAAATAACAAATCTTAAATAAGAAATTTGTTTTCGACATTATTTTTATCTAATTTTAATTCAATTTCTTCTTCTTTTCTAATTCGATTAGTTAAAAAAATATAGATATAACTTACTTTGATCTTTTATTTTAGCATTAATAAGTTGTGAATTAATAAGAATTTTTGGTAAAAGAATAAGAATTGATATATGAATATCGAATAAAGATAATAATGGTAAAGATTGAATTATTTTTTTATTATATTTCTTTGAATAAAAAGGATAATCTTCAATTGAATTTCCAAAACCATTAAGAAAACTAAAAACAGTTGAAATTGATGAAGAAACAATTGTAAAAGCAATTAATATTAAACATAGTATAACAATTGTTTCTTTGGTTTTATCTTCGAATGTTGAATCAAAATAACGAATTATTCCAAGATTATCAATATGACAATAAATTTCAATTAAAAAACAGCCTATTCGATACCATATATAACCTAATGATGATTTTAATTTTATAATTGACATTTAGAATATAGTTGAATATTGAGAGACAGAGAGAAAGAGACTCAGTAGAATAAAAAAAAAAAGGGAAAAGCATAAAATTGAACCTACGATAATTATGTTAAGACTAATCTCTTTAATCCATAAAACAATTATTTATTTATCGTTGGTTCGATCGATCGAATTATTTAAGATAATCATTTGTCAATAGAACAACAAATATTTATATCATCAATTAATAAGTTCTACTCGCCCAATCAAATAAACATTTCTCTTAATTAATTAACCTAAACAAATCAATGAAAATCTTCAAATTAAAAAAAAAAACAAGATTCGAATAAAAAAAAATTTTTTAATGAAAAAAAGAAAAGAAATGAATGAATAACAAAAGATAGAATTTCTATTTGATGATATTTATCTTCTGTACAAAAAAGTAAAAGAAAAAGAAAAAAAGAAAATGAATTTTTTTTGAGCTTGTTAAAATCACCGATGATTGATTTATTGATTAGAAATTCGAGGCAAAATTGTTATTGAAGCAGCATTTGTTAATGTTTGTTTATCATCATCATTTGGAATATTTTCTTCATTTCCCGTTGTTTCATTTAGACTAAAATCTATTTTGAAAAAACAAAACAGAAAAATAATTAAAATTAATAAATATATTTGTTTTACAAGAATCTGCATTGACAGTTGAAATATTTTCATCTTTTTTTGTTCGATATTTGTTTTTTGATTCTCTTGATGTTCTTTGTTTTAATTTTGTTTCAATAATCCATGGATGACGTAAACCTTCTTCTGGTGTTAAACGTTCAACTGGATCCCATCTAGATGTTAATAAAAAATAGATTATTATAATAACTTGAAATAAAAAACAAATGTTTTTCTTTTTTAAAACAAACTCAAAACATCGACGAATAAAATCAATAAAGTTTTGATCAGTTGTTCGAAGAATTTGCCCTAATGGACGACTAGCTGGACGACGTTTTTTTAATGTTTTTGTTGTTACACTTCGAGGTATTCCTTTTGAATCTAAATTTAATTCAATGAAAAATTATCAAAAAATAAAAATAAAACAAACCAAAAAATAATTTTCTTCGAGTTCCTTGTTCCAGTACATGATTTGGTGGTAAATCAATAACTTCCATTATCATTGATAATTGTTCTTGTTCATTTTCACCAGGAAATATTGGATAACCTTTATATATTGAATGAATTTTTATTTCATGAAAACAAAACGAATCAATAAATTCTATACAACAAACCAGTAAATAATTCGACAAGAATACAACCAAAACTCCACATATCAATAGCTGGTGTATAAGGAATACCTAAGATTATTTCAGGTGCTCGATAAAATCGAGATTGAATATATGTATAGACTAATAAAAAAAAATGTTTTATTATTTTTTTTCTTCTTAAATTAAAATAAATGAATAAAAAAGACTAGAACAAACTTCTCTGTGCTTGAAAACATCCAGATCCGAAATCAATAACTTTAATACTACTGCTTCCTTTTTGTCTTAATAAAATATTTTCCTAGAAGATAAAAAGAAATTTTATTATATTATTTTCCATATAAATATCTTACTGGTTTAAGATCGCAATGAATGATTTTTTCTCTAAACATAACACGAAGACATTGTAAAAGTGAATTAGCAAAACGTCTGACTAAATGTACACTAAAACCTTGATAATTATTCTTTTTAATTAATTCATATAAATTAATTCTGAAAAAATAAAAATAAAAATGAAATTAATTCTTCTTGAAAAATCTTTCTAAAAATTAATTTACCCGAGTAATTCAAATGTAATACAAAGATGAGATCGAAAATAAAAATGTTCTTTTATATGAACAATATTTAATGAATTATCGGAATCTAATGTTTTTAAATGTGTTAATATATTAACTTCAACAAGACCTTGTTGTTGAAAACGTTTTTTATTTCGAATTATTTTTAATGCAACAGTTTCTTTTTTTTTATGATCATAACAACGAAGAACAAGACCAAATGAACCTTTGCCCAGTGTTTCTAAGATTTCAAATCGATAACAAATATGATCTTTACTCATTTTCATATAGGAACCATTTTCATCATCATAATCTTTAACATTTGTTGCTGAAATTTTTTCAGCTTCTAAGCCAAGAAAATAAATTTCATTGAAATCGAATATTTCATTTTTTTCAAATTCAGTTAATTTATCACCATAATGTGATAACGCTTCTAAAATTCAAATAAGAAACAAAATATTTTCTTTTTCTTTTCCAATTTAAATAAAATAAAATAAAACCTGATGGTTTCATTGGAAAACTTGGCATTTTATTAATATTGTCAGTTGAATTATTATTAAAGAAACTTCTTGATCTTGAAAATTGATGTGAACTTGAAATAATTGAAGATGCACTTGTATTATGATGATGATATAAATTATGATTATTTGTTATATCTGTATCTTTTGAAGATGATTTTAAACTTCCTTCGCGAGTTTTTTCTCTACGTAAACTTCTTGCTGTAACAGCAGCAGCACCACCATGATGATGATGATTCGAATTATTATGAGAATGATGCACTATTGTTTGATGTAAACGTGCTGATGTACCTCCAGATCCAACACTATCATTTAAAAATGGTAATGATGAATCATTATTTAATATATTATATGATTTAACACTACGATTTCCATTTGTTAGCTGTTGTGTGTGTTGTTGTTGTTGTTGTTGTTGTTGTTGTTTATCACTTACCCGAGGAAACGAACCATTTAAAACAGTTTGAACAGAAAATTTCTATTTGAAATTAGATTTAGCTTTATTATTTACAAAAAACTTTATTAAATTAACCTGAACTTTAGCTAAAGGTTTTGATGTTATACTTAATCCAATATCACCAAATGAATTTTCCATATCACGTAAATCAACACCACTTGTATTTGGGCCTGATCCATAACCAGTACTTCCATTATTCGACTAAAATTTAGAATTGAAAAATTATGGAAAAAATAAAGAGAAAATAAAAGAGAAAAAGAAACTAAGAAAAACCTTGGCTGTCGACGGTCCTTTACTCTCTCGGATTTTTGTAAGCAACATTACTCTTGTTCCATCGAATGTTTAGTTACTGTCAGTCTCTATTACTGATTCGAATAGACATATAAACAAAAAGAATTTTAACTAGACTTTTTTTTCTTCTTCTTCGATACCATTTAATGGGATTAGATTTATTTCTTATACACGAAACAATAAAAGGTAGAAAAAAAAACGAACAAATCAAAGACATTTTTTGTTAATATTGTTTTACTTTATAAAGTCCCATAAAGAATTGTCGATGTTCATCTATAGAATTCATTCAAACCGAATAACAAATCGACATTCATTTAAGAATAAAACTGATCTTTTCCTATTTTACTTTGATTTAATTTTCTTCTTCTTCTTCTTCTTCTTTTATTTTTTGACCAATTTAACGGTATGAATCAACTAGCTTCCTGTTTCCTTTTTTCAAAGCTTTGAAATTAATCAAGTGAAAAAAAGAAGAAAGTAAAACTAAACTTGTTTCTTTCTCTATTTCAAGGTCAATCATCATTTCAATATTTCATTCTTTAGCTGATAGTTAAAAAAGAAATTTTTCTTTTTTCTCTATTATAAAAACGAAAAAATTTCTTTTCTATTCTTTTCTTTTTCCATAATTATGATCTTCAGGCGTTATTTATTCCAAATTGAGATTTCTTTTTTTTGTTTTTATGTTATCTATTTATTAAAATAAATAAAAATGAAATTTTTATTCTCACTTGATCATGAAAATTGTCTTCTTGATAATTATCTCTGTACGAATAAGAACTATTTTGATTTGAAGGATTTGAAGAATTAGAAAAGTGAATATTTGAAATAAATTTCTTTTGATCAATATTCGATGTTGCTAATGATTGAGTTAAACAATTTTGTTTCGTTTTAGTAGATGATGAATAAAAATGATTTATTTGTTGAATATTTGTTGTTGTTTGTTTCTTTTTATATTTTTTATTTAAATTATTTTGTTTAACAGTCATTCGAATAAATTTGTGGAATAAATTTGAAATTGTTTGTCGATGTTCAACATTGATCATTGATCCACTTGACATAGATTTTTCTTATTTTATTTTATTTTTAAAAATTTAATAAAAAATTTCTTTTCGTCGACCTTTTTTTTGTTTAATCTCAATAGATGAAAAGAAAAAAGTAAGAAAGTCGAAAATTCTTTCTTTTTTTATTATGGTTTCTTTTAGATATTTTATTTCATTTTTCAATTTCAATTTCTTCATTTTCTAATATTATCTTTCTTCTTCTTCTTTTCGATTCTTAGAAATCGAAAGTTATATTCATTGATAAAGCTTATTGTATTTTATTATACAATCAAATTTATTGGAAAATTTTTATTTATTTTTTTCTAGTAAAAAAATAGTTACCATAGAAAATTTTTCTTTTTCTTCTTTTTTTCAATATTTTTTCTTATTTGTTTTTTATTTTTCATTGATTAGAACGTTGATTGAAATTATTTTATCTTTTTTTTCTTAAATAAAATAACCAATATTCAAAATTAATATTTCTTTAATTTGAACAAATATTTAATGAAATCATTGAGCTATTTCATTTACTGATAAAACTTTTTCATTATTTTTTATACTTTACTTATTTACTTTAAAAATTAAAATCAGCTCTGATAATCATTATTTTAGATGAATATTTAATTTTCACATTTATTATTAAATTAATATTAAAAAATTTGTTTTTCTTTTCTTTTATATTTCGAATGATTCAACGGAAATTAAAATTCACATAAACATTATCAATCAACAACATTTAAATGAAAATTGAATATCACTGCGAGGTTTTATGAGAAATTTATCAAAATTTCTATTTGATAAAAACCAAAATATCTTTTTATTTCTTTAAGAATATTTCAAAACATTAATTTTATAATTGTTCGACATGTTTTTAGTCACTTCTAAGTTTTATTAAAAAACAAAAGGAAAAACTTAATATAAATAAGAGAAAATTGTGATTAGAATAATAAATATGAATTATTTAAATAAGTATTTTAGTTTAAATTGTCGATGACAACGAATATTTGATTTTAATTCTTCTATTATAAAAGGATTCATTTCATATTTCATATTGAATGAATACGAGATCATTCATCATTATTGTTGTTGACCGGATGGAGTCGAGAGATGGAGAGAGCGAGAAGTTGACCGAGTAGGAAATAAAAACGGAAATGAATTGAAATATGTTCTAATTAACAAGGCAAACAGAAAGTCATTGACGCCATTGAGTGGAATCAAAATGAGAATAAAAACAATGAATCTACATCATATTCAATTGAACACACGTCAAGTAACATTAGAAAAAACAGAAAACATACATTTATTTTCATAATTAGTTGTCTACTCTACTCTTTTTCCAATCAACTAAACACATTTAAAAACAGTAGGAGATTAAATTCTATGAAACAATACATGCCTTTCTTTTTTTCCTTTTCGTTAATTATAGAAGAGAGAAAATATGAAATAACATTAGGGGGTAAATATATAAATATCGAAATAAAATCTTCTCATTTATTCTGATGAATAATTTCGATCATTCCAATAATAAACATTTTCATTTTTAATATTAATTGGAATAATTATATTTGATTGTTGATCAGGATAAATTATTTGTGACGACGACGATAATGATGACGATGATATTGATGATAATGACGAATTTGATTGAAGAAGTTGACGAAGATTTTCAATATAAATCATTGCTGATTTAAGTGTATCAACTTTCGAAAGTTTTTTATTGTGTTTTTCATTTGGAATATGTTGACGAAGAATTTCAAAACAAGCATTTATATGACGCACACGATTTCGCTCACGAGCATTTCGACGTGTTGTACCAATTTTAACTTGTTTTCGACCACCACGATTTCTTTCATATTGTCTTTTTTCTTCTTCTTCTTCTTCTTCTTCTTCTTCTTCTACTTCTTCGTGTTCTTCTCCTTCTCCAATTTCCATCATTTTATAAAATGACCTTCATCAAATTTTCTTCTTTAAAAAAAAGAGAAAGCGAAAAACAATTTCATTGGTCATTATATTCTCTTTTTCTTGTTTTCTTATTGATGAAAAATGTTCATTGAAATGGAATCGAATATGAATATAAATGTTCAAGTAGTGGATTAGATTGCCATTGACCAGTTACATAATCTTCAATTGATAAGCTGATCCATCGTTGTCATATGACATAATTAGTATGTTATATTCGATTTCTTTCATCTTCTCTTCTGTTCTATTATTAAATAACATAAGACAAATCAAACGAATATTAAAAAAAAAGAAAGGATATTTAATATAGTTGACCAAACATTTATTTTATATTCTATAACAATAGACAGTGAAAAAAAATGCTAAAATGTTAATGTCACATTAAATGATCTGTAAGATGTTTAACAGAGCATCAATTGATTGATTTCATCTTAATTTATTTTTGTTTCATTTTCATTGTTGGTATTTCTAAAGAAAAGAATTTCTTAATTAGTTGCTAAATAAAAAATGAAATCGAATGAAAAACGATCGAATTAACACGTATTTCATCGCATATCAATAAACTTTTTTTCTTTTCTTTTCTTTTCTTTTTGTTCACTTATTTGAAGAAGAAAAAACGACAGGCACCTGAAAAAATATCAAACAAATCATATTGTCGATTTATATCTCGCAAGATTTTCTTTTCTTCTATTCATATTTTTCATGATAAAGCAAGAAAATATCCATGTTTGATTAACTTTAAAGAAAAGAATTTGCGCTTTCATTTTTAGTCAAAAGAAATAATTTGAGATTTATTGAAGAAATGAAATCAAACGAAACGAAATGACATGAAATGTTTTTGAATTGTTTCATTTGTCCATAGAACGGATATTCAAGAATAATTGTACAATTATCCAATGATAAACTGTTTTTTTTCAACGAGATAAACTGACATCAATATTATTTGATTGAACTTTCAACAATAAAATAGATAATTGTCTAGGACAATTTTACAAATCGATCAATGATTATCTTTTAGTTTTAAATAATCAAATTTTTAGTAGAATATATCCAAAATGAATAGGATTTCAAAAATGATCATCAATCTTTTTTCTCTTCCTGCTTCTCTGTTCTCTAAAAAAACCACCAATGAAATTTATTCTTTAATTCTGTCCGAATTTTTTCCTGTTGAAAACAAGAATTTGCCAATCTGTTTCTGCATTAGAATAGAAACAGATCAAGGAAATATTCTAAGAAGGTACCAGCTAGAGAGAAAAAAACATTCAAGATTTTTTCGTTAATCATGAATTGATCAACTTTGTTTCAAGTAAGAAGAGTGTTGAACAAGACAAATATACAAATAAAAAGATATCTTATCCATGATCATTGATGAAATTTTTGTTATTCATCTTATAGAAGTCCGAAATAAACAGATTCTACAAATATAATAGTTCAATATAGTTTTATTAATATTTTGAGTAATGTTCTTACGTCCTTGTCTATGTGTGCTTTAACAAATTCGTTCACTTGATAAAACACGTATATCAAGTAAGTCACTATTTTTGCATATTGAATGGTTAATTGACCATTTTAATCCTTATCGTATAAGAATTCATTGGGAAGCTTTAAAAAAACAGACACGTCACAATATTGAAGTAATACAAGTGAATTTCATAAACCATATCAATTAATCATATGAAAAGCTTTTCAAGCATGTCACAATGAAATATAACGAATTGCCTTTTCCATTTTTTCTGATAAAACAGTAGAATAATATCGAATCGTTTCAGCAAGCTGTGGATATTTATCCATGTCTAAAAGAAAACTATGAGTAGAACACACTTTTCGATTATCTTGCGAAAGGTTTCGCAAAGCTCACAATCAGATAAGCACGTTTAAGACCGTAAGTACATATTAACTATTTTCAATTTGCAACAATTATGCTTTTGAGATATTGTCATTCTCTGTTACAAGTATTCTTGATTATCTATTAAATTATTTGTTATTTACTTCATTTGAATGCAATCAATTTCTACGATATTGATACCAGTGTATAACGCAGAGATGCAACCGGTACCAGTTATCAAGCAGCCTGGGTACTGACTGATTCAGATTTCAGACTGACCTGTCTGTCGGTAACTGATCAATCTTGTTTCCTTTTCTCAACTTTATTATTTATATATATATATACTAATTAGAAATTTCTCGTTGGTAATGAAATACAATAGTTTATATTTATGGATGAATTTTTCTAGCATTAATGAATCGTCGATAGATCGAAAATGATCCGCGTAATACGGCTCGTAAACGTTCATTTACTATCGTATCTGATAACCATGATGTTCGTCCTGCACATATCTATTTGATTGTGGTATTCCCTTACTCCACCTGTACTTCAGAGTGTAGAAGCCTCGCTTTATTCCTTTTGACGAAACAACATATTTTTTGATTCGGTCCTGGTGTTTGTAGTGATTTTACAATTGAAAAGAGGCGGTATAAAAGGTATAAACGGGAAAATTCTAAATGAATCAAGAAAACTCTTATTGATCACGTTAGAGCTAAAAAGAAAAGAATATCTATTAGCTACTACAAGCAAAAGAAATGTGTGATGAGACTTAGATAGTGAGTTTCTCAGAATTCAGGATTAATTGTGAAGAAAAATGGTTCACTTTGCATTTGCTTCAACTATCTGTATTATTAGCTGAGAAAAGAAGAACTATAATCCATTCATCCCGGTAGAAGTTCAAATGAAGAAATCTTTGTTGTTTATTATTTGAATTTATCGCGTTATTTTGAAGTTTATAATTACCAGAATCGAGTTACTAAAAGAAAGGATCCAGATAATGGTGCATCTGTAAGATTGGACAAAAACAATCCGTTGGTACAATATTTTCTTGAAATGGTTTTATATTACACAATGATAATGCTGTGAAAATTATACCTACTTCTACTTCCTACTCCTATCTAATATTCAATAGTGGCAAACTTGAAAGTTGAATTTAATTTAACGGATAATTTTCAAGGTTTAATTTTCAATTTTATTGTACCAGGCACATCGAGAGATTTCTATACTGAAATTTGCAAGCTCAACACTGAACTTTAATTAGTACCAAGTATGACGTATGTGCATAAATGTTAGAAAAGGTTTTTCAATGTTTATGATTAGTTTTTATTCTAATGAAAAGTGATTAAGATGGATACACGAAATAATTCTCTTCTATTCATTTGCTTTTCGTTCAATAGATCTCTATCGAGACGGCAGAATCCAAAAACAAAGGTATTTTTTTTTAATATTTACTTTATTTTACAAACGAAACTTTCGAAAGTAAAGACTATATGGATGAAGTACACATGAGTTTCTTCTACCATTATTAATTAAAATAAATATAATTATGATTATGAATTTAATATTATTATATGGTTTGATTTCTTTTCAATATTATCGTTTATTAGTTTTATTTTAGGCTTTCAATATCGACACATAACAAATGTACGCGAGGTCTCTGCAAGATTTTTGTTTTTGATCTTGAGCTTCTGTTTATTATACAATTTTTCTAGTATGGCATCTTGCTCTAAGCAAATCTTCTCTGATTGATGAGCTCAAAATCGAGAATTTCTCAAAAATTATCTTCATTGTTTATCGAAAGTTTGGACGATGTTAAAAAGGAACATGTTTTTCTTGAAGATGCAAAAATTAACTTGACGAGGTGGTAATATCTCATTTTTTTTCAAAATTCATGTACTTAATTTCATATTGTTCGACTACAGAAGATAACTAATATGAATATACATAATTAGAAGACGCATTGAGATTCTTAAGACAAGAACACAAGGAAAAAAAGCGAAATTCATGGAAAGGTGCGCTAGAAATAACTTAACCTGTTTTCTGAATACATTTAAAATTTGTCAAAAGGCAGTCATACACAACATTTACTGTGTTCTCTTAATGTACTCTGTCATTGTATTCATTATGGACAATTGTAATATATAAGTAATCAATTGTTCAATAATTACACGAAGGATCAAAAGTAGTATTGACTCGATTTGTAATGTAGTATAAGAAATTTTAAAAAAAGCCAAATACGCGCTTCAAAATCAAACTTATTTAATGAAACAAAAACAAAGCGTGAATATTTTGATTAATAAAATACAAAAGGAAATAACAAATTAAAAGATTTTTGAATTGTTTTTTTTCTTATTCAATAGATCGATGAAGAAAAAATTAATTTTTATTTAATTTGTTGAATTTTCTCAAATAAATCTTGTTGAACTGTTTGTAAATCTTGATTTTGCTCTTCAACAGTATCAATTAATTGTAAAGAATATTCAAATAATTGTTTCGCCTCTTTATTTTGTTTATCTTTAACAAGTTGTTCTGCTTGATTTTTATATAATTGAATTAAATCATAAATTAATTGTTCATAAAGAATTTCATCAAAATGAATAAGACGTTTCGAACCCATTTTTTCTAGAAGATTTTTATCATTTGTTGTAAATTGTTTATTTTCTTGATCATAAATATAAATAAAGTGAACATTTTTTATCAATGCTATTTGACGAAGAAAGTCTTCTTCAGCAAAAATATTTGTTGTTAAAAAGAAAACTTTTTTATCTTTTGTTGAATCTCGAAGAAAATCATAACATGATGTTGGCTTATCAAATTGACGAAGTGGTGAAAGAATTTTTCGAAATTTATCTTTTAATTGTTCATTTCCGCCTGGTAAATATCCCATACGTTTATCTAACCATACGAATATCAATGAATTCGACGACATGTTAACTTACTTCACTTCAATCAACAACTTTTGTTTTATGCAATTTCATTTTATTCAAATTCAATTGAGATACTTTTCTTTGTCTCTCTCTCTCTCTCTCTCTCTCTCTCTCTCTCTCACACTCACTTTTTTTCTTTTCGTAATGTTAACATTTAAAAAAAGAAGAAACAAATAAAAGCAGAAAAAGAAGAAGAAAAGAATCCAAAAAAACGATAAGAAAAAAAGCTATTTATGATGTCTTTCCACTAATTAATTGTTGTAATCTTTCATTTAAATGTTTTTCTTTATTTAATAAAGTTGTTGTATAATTTTTATAACCGAGAAATTCCTGAAAAGTAATCAAATTTTTAAAAATCGTAGCAAAAAAAAGAATTAGATAAACCTGTTCAATATTTTCTATTTTTTGTTGACTTTCAATAAGTTTCAATTGAAGTTTTTCAACTCGAACATCACAATTAATACGTTCTTCTTCATTTCTAAAAGAAAATATTCGCTTTTTTAAATAAAATTTTCCTTTTTTTTCTTGGTTTTATCTTACATAAATCTTTGATTAGCTTCGTTTAACAAATGTTCTGTTTTAGTTAATTTTTGACGAAGTTTTTCTTCATTAGTTAAATATTCCTAATAATAATAATAAAATTAAAATAAAGAGAAAAAAATGAAGATCGAACTACCTGAAGACGCTGTTCAAGCTGTTTTATTTGTTTTTCTAATGATGTTTTATTGCTTTTTAATTGATCAAGATCATTTAAATGACGTTGTTCGATTTGTTGAATAGCTTTTTCTTTTTCTTCTACTATTTGTTCAAGATCTTCACAGAAGAGAAAAGAAAAGATTGTAAAATATAAAATAAAATAAAATAAAAAAGAACAGAAACTTTTTCGTTGTGTTTGAAATTGATTCATTTGAATTGTTTGATTATCAATTAGATTTTCTTTTTGATTTAATTGTTTTTTTGAATCATTTTTTAAACGATCAATATTTTCATATGATTCTCTAATAGAATAGAATAGATTAAATACAAAATTTTAATAAAATTACAAACTCTAATAATTTTTCTAATGTTTGAATTTTATTTTTAAAAGATAATAATTCTTGTTGAACATTTTCATATTTATCATTTTGAAATAAAAATCTTTTATTGAATTCTTGTTCTTTTAATTCCCATTGAACATTCGATGTTTTCAATTGTTCAATAGTTTGTCTCAATTCTTCTATCTTGTATTTCATTCTTTCGTCTTCTTCTAATTGATCACGTAAATCTTCAATTTGTCTTTCTAATTCGATTGAATGTTTATCCAATGCCATATTTGCTAGAATATATTCATCATTTCTTTTTTTTAACATCATTATAAGACGAGCTTGATCATCTATTCTACATTTCATTTTTCCGATTTCACTTTTTTCATCTGATGATATACCTCGAAGACGAGATAAAATCTCATCTGTTTGATCATCAGCCATTGAATATGTTAATTTACTAAACAACAACCTCCTTCTAGATTTCAATCAGTTTAACTGAAGAAAACTATGGGCAGAAAGAGAAAAAGAAAACTAAAGTAAACATTGTTTATACGGTGATAAAATATTTTCTCTAAAAGAAGAAAAAAGAAAAAGAAATTTGGCATTGAAATAAATTTAATTTAGAAATAAAAGGAAAATTATTTTTTATGAAAATGAAAATGTAAAAGAGGTTGAAGCCCAGATGGAAAATCATCAATAATAAATTGAATATGTTGAGGTACTGGAAGTGAACTACGTTGTCTCCATGGTATTGTTCGTCTTATTAAAATAGTTGATTGGTCACGTAACGATGCAGGTGAACATTTTGGCCATGGATTATCTTTCGTTGATCCATACATTTGATCATCTCCTGATTCGGGATAAATGGAATAAATATTAAAAAAATGAAAATTCATCTGAAAAAAACGTTTTTTTATTTCCAAAAAGAAGAAGAAAAAGACAAAAAAAGCGAGAAAAAGCTATTTGTTAGCAAGAGCTTGAAGAGCATCTGACAGCATATTACGCTTATATTCTCCTGGATTATTTTTTTTTGCATGCGATCGTGATTTACTTCGCTTTTTAAGCCATTTATCAATTGTATGATGAATATCAGATTTATAACGTTCAGCTAAATTTAAAAATTCTTGTTTTGATAATGTTGAATATTCTTCAATACGATCTTTATAATAACTTTCAATTTGTTGATCAGCATTATCACCTTCTAAAAATTCATTTTTACAATGACGTAATTTCGTTGCTAATAAAGCACAAGCTTTAAGATAATCTCCAATCGATTCATCTGTTTCAGCTTCTCTTTTAATTCGAGAATGAAATTTTGAAAATGCTTTAGCACATGATAATTGTTGTAATGCTTCAATATCATCTTCGCTAAATGGTCGAGGTTTTTTACGAAATCCACGTCGTCTTTTCGATTGAAATTGTTTAGTTGAAAATGGATCAAATGAACATTCATTTGAATCTCCATCGTCTTTTGTTTGATTTTCGTCATCATCAAAATTTATTGATTCATCTATATCAGCTAGTAGTTGATTTTCGATTGATAATGATGATGCAGCCGCTGTTTCCGATTTACGTGCTCCACGTGTTGGTGCCATTTTTCACAGATTTACTTCTTCGTCACTATTACTTTGTCTTATACAAGGTCACAAGTTCATCCAATGAACGTTCACATTAAAAAAAAAACTTTTTCATATAATCAACATATGTTTCTTTTCGTTCAATCAATCATTCATTTATTGATTTAGTTTTCATCTAATTTCTTCGAAATCGTTTTGAAATTAAAACAAATTATTTTTTCCTTTTAAAATTTTAACTGAAATGTTATCATTGTTTTTATAAAATGTTTTCTTTTGAACGACATCTATGAAAAAATAGGAGGTTGGTTAGAATGGAGTATATTTTCAACTGAAACTAATGTATTTTCGAGTCGATGTAAATATTATACATCCCAAAAACTCGCAAACGATTAGAAAATTTGACTTGTGCTCTTAAACCAATTTTCCTTTGCCGAGGATGAAACCATGTTTGTTGAATAGTTTGCACTGAAATTCTAAAAAGAGTATTTTTATCTTTTTCACTATCGTGTACATCATCACTTATTATCTAAGATAAAAGTCAGCCTGAATCTGAATATTCTCTGTATTGGTATCGTATGTTTTATAATACTTCAATGATATTTATCTCAGTGGCGGATCCAGAAAATATGGGGGATGGTGCTCCTGGCCAAAAAACGGTTTTTAAAGTCTATTTCAGACAGAACTACTATTTTCTGTTTCATTTCTGCTGGGGGAAACCGAAAAAAATTCTTAAGGGGAGTGGCGATCGCCGGGTAGCCTAACTGGTAGATCCACCACTGTTTGAATACATCGAAAATGATACAGTTGTTGGAAACAAGAAGATATGAAATATAGTTAACAAAAATTTCGAAGGGGGGTGGCGGTCGCCACCCCCCTAAATCCGCCACTGATTTATCTATTCAGGATACAATGAGAATACGAAAAATCCTGAAATACTGGAATCTGATATTTTTTCTCTAATTTTATACGGTTCAGAGTGAGAAGCATCTAAGTCACTAATAGTAGCATACTAATTTCATTGAAAAACAACAGAAAAATAAATTTCTGTACAAAAGTGAGCATGTTTTTCAATTGTATTTTTCATATCTTTGACGATAATTACAATTAGCAAGCGAATTGGTATTTTTTGAAGTCCCAGCATCAAAGTTAATTTCATTTGAAGTATAATTAAAATCATGGTTGGAACCGGTTCAGTAGACCGGGTGATTTTCCGCGATCTTTGTTTTTTTTTGCATTATAAACACTATTTGAAGGAACGAAAAGTTGTTTATTGAGCTCATTTTTAATGGTTCTCATGGTTTCTATAATTAAGAAATATGAGTCTAAAAGTTTCTTAACGAATATCTTTTCAATCATTCTTGAAATTTTAGTCTCTAATATTGATTGACATTTTTTCATCCGAGAATGAGAATCTTCGAATATTTTGAATGAATCTCTTTATGCTAAACTTGATATTAGAAACTGATGTCGATTTATACAAGAGATCTCTCATCTAGATATTTTAAAGTCACTGTTAGAATTATTTTTAGTCAATTATCATTGAGTACCAATAGCTGATTTTGATAACGTTGAAAATGCTCAGATGTTAAGAAAACTTCGACGATGAAAACCATCTTATCTTTCCATCTGTAGCAGCATCCGTTGTCTAGGTTGAGATGCCTTGCAGCTGTGTTAAATAATTAGTTCCAATAAGAATAGATAAAATCTATCAGTTGGTAACAAATTATATCGTTGTGAAAAACTGATAGTCACTGATATTTAGTCGATATATTCAAAATATCAGTAATGCTGATGCCAATCTGAATAGTATGAATCGAGAGAAGAAAAACACATGGTAAATCTACAGTAAATATTTTTTTTTGATACTGTCTTTTGCTCGATTTATTCTTGTCATTAGGTAAACTTCATCACTAATCGAAATGTTTAAAAAGATCCAGAATAAAATTGATCGAATATCACTATAGATTTATCATTTATTCACAAAACAAAGAAGATATTTTAAACAGGCGCGTTGATTAGCTCGAATCGGCGAATAACTTATTTTTCATTGAAGATAATTATTAATTAAATGGCCTAAATTTAGTCATACGATTTTTGTATTAAGAAACATGATTGTATTTTGTCTCCAAGATAAATAGATTTTACTCCAATAATTTTTTATAAAAGTTTCTCGTTTTTAGTAGATCAAGGTCAACGACTATTGTTAACTAACAGCAGACTTTTATGAAGATTTTTCCGCTTTGACAAGAACGTTCAATGATTATTAATTGGTTGAAAGGAAAACTATAGAAAAAATTGCAAAGAAACTTTTTTTAAGTAAAGATATAAAAACAAATTTGTATTCTTTTCGAGAAATGATTTCACTGGTAAAATAACTAGTTTTATTCTCACACAGAATTTTGTTATTATTTTTTTTTTAAATTATTCAACTACTATCTCATTTTCTATCTATTGCATGGAAGCAAAATCAGTGGTTTATGATCCTTTTCAATGAATTTTTTCTATGAACATATATTATTGAATGTTGAGTTCCGAGAAAGAAAGTCATTATTATCGATTTCAATTCAAAACTTAATTATATATATAAACTAATATGTTTTAAATGTATATTTTATCATTTTTTTGTTGATCAGATAACAATATTATGATAGATTACAATTAATAGGATAATCTTCAACGATCATATCAATCAGATATAAAATATAGATTTGGGAAGTCTTTTTTCGAATACGATAATGTGGAAATTTTCTAAGTTGAATGTAGACTTAATTATTGACTAAGTAGATCTCAACTTGTTCTTTCTCCGTGTAGCAATTTTCGAAATAAAAATTAGGAAAAAGCATATTTAAGAAACAAGTAATAAAACAGATATGAAATGAGAATATGAATAGAATTAGTCTAAAGTCGATTGAGTAATCAAGATGGAATTTTACTTGTACTTCGTGCCATAAATGTATTGGTGTACTAAAATTTGACAAAACTACTTATCTTCGTGAACAAATGTAAAGTAGTTTTTTTGTAAATATTCATTGTATGACTTTATTATTTTAAATATTCACATTTATAGAAAATCAGAGATGATACATCGTGAGAGAAAATGATGATTAGAAATAATCTTGTTAATATTATGATTACACCGTAAAAGATTGTCTATCTTGAGCATAACCTGCAGGTTTTTTGTCAGTCAAAACCCTTGGAAATTTTACATCTACTTTTCTTTCTTGCTCTCTCATATGTCTATTAGAAGTAACGAATGATCCATAAAGAACAAGAAAATATCTGTCGCTAGTTAAAGTCTATAAAATAATAAATTTCAACTAAGCATTCATCGAGACGAACAACTTGATTAAATTGAATTATCTTCGATTTGATATATACTTTGTTCAAAGATTCAATCAAAGCTTTTAGATTATTACTAATACTCGGTTAAAATATAGAATAGAATTATAAATGACATTGAACATTCATATATAAATACAACGAGTATTTCATTCGAAATTAAAACAGATGAATGAATACGAAGAGTTAATATATGTTTGATTTCGTTTCTTTTTTGTTCTATACCAAGTAAAAGATATTTTTCGATTCTAGATTTGCTGAAATAATATTTGAATAATTATTTATTTTGATCACAATTCGTTATAAATATGTCATGAGTCATGAAAACATGAAACCTAGGAAAAATTCGATTATTATTAATTAAATCTGTGAACTGATCAAATAAATCGATGAAAATGAAAACACAAAGTGATTTAGAAAAGTTCTTTTACATTCATTGATTTTTATTTTCTACAGTTCGATAAAAGTCAATTCAATTTGTTTGCATGTTGATCAGAAAACATTAATTGATGGTTTTCTCTTTTTTTCTTTTTACATTGAAAATATCTATTAAACATTTTATCAATTTGCATTGCATTGCAAAATAAGAGAAAACTAAGAATTATTTATTTTCTCAGATATTTCAACAAAAAGTCGAAGTTAAATTATTGAAAAAAAAAACTTGAATATAATTTTAATTTTCTAAAGTAATATTGATTCAATTTTGTTGAAAAAGTTTCTTATAAATATCAGTGATCTACGTTGAATAAATATGAATTGATCAATCAATCAAGCCTCATTTCCTTCATAGTGGAGTACGTATTGGCCAATAAAAATTTATCGATGCTTCTGTCATGGTTTTCTATTGACAAAATCGTCCATTCGAATTCGACGAATTCGCAAAATTTTATTTTTTATGAATTTTCTATATTTGAAATTCAATTTTTGATATTCAAAGAATATTTTCCATATCTTTCTTTTTTTAATTTTTCAATGTCTGAAAATCTTATTTACTCACGATTAAGGTTCGTGATAAAAATAATAAGCAAAATAGTTTCTTTTTCTTCGAACAATTAAATCTATCAATCAATGACAAAATGTTTGACGTTAATGAGTTTTTTATTTGTTTCATTTGTTAATATAATCTTTTTTTGTTATGATCATCATATTATTTGATTCTTGAATTTTCTAATGAATTTTCTCATTTGAAATTTTGATAAAAACATTGAAGAATGTTAAAGTATTATTTTTGACATATTTATTAATGTTTTCAAGTCAATTTTTTTCTTGAATAAAGATAAGAAGAGGAAAAAGAAAAAAAACAGAACTATTTAGTTTATTTTTTTATCTATAAATATATGTATATTAAATTGAGAAGAATTAACAATTGTTGAGTTCGATATAAACTTATTATGGATGCAATAAAGATGAAATCTTATTAGAAAAAAAGAAATAATATTTATATCTGTATATTTTTTTTTGTTCTTTCCTGTTTCTTTTTCTTTTTTCTTTTCTCTTTTTTCTTTTTTCTTCGTCCGAATGGATACAATGATTTATTTCGTTGTTTTCTTTTTCTTTTCTATATCTGTTTTTAGTTTCTTTGGATAGTAGCTATAGAGTTAGTCGTTTTAGTCAATGGTTGGTGCGATGGAAACTCGTCGTTTGTCAGGCAATATTTTTTCTCGTGATAAAAGCTTTCTCAAATCAATATTTTATCCTCAATTTGAATCTGAATTAATAGAAAAAAATTATAATTTAAATTATTTAACAAATATTTATCCATCAAATCATCGTTTATTAGTTTTTATATTAATAAGTCATTCATTATTTTATTTATTTGAAATATTCTATTTAAAATTAGAAATAAATTCTTTAAAATTAATCTATTTGTCATTATTATGTTCAACAATATGTCTAAATCTATTGTCATTGCTAATAATAAATAGAGTAAGGAATATTATTTTATCAAATATAATATCATTATTATGTTTATGTCCATTGATAATAATAACTTGTTTGTATCCAATGGAATGTCATATTTATTTTTTAATAATATTACTTTATACAATATCAAATTTATTTTTACCTTTATCAATATTGATATCAATATTAGTAACAATATTAATATTAAGATTGCAAACTGGCTTAATATTATTATTGATAATAAATATAATTGGGATTTATTTAAATCGTTTATTAGAGTCAACTATTCGTTCAGCATACAATCAACTATGTAAAAGTAAATTTTGTTTCTATTATTAGAATAAATAAATAAAATTTTCTTCTTCCTTTTAAAAACAAACAAAAAGATGCTATTGTTCGTAATTCTTTATTAAGTGAACATACATTAATATCAAAAATGATTGATTCATTAATGCCAAGAAAATATGCTGAAGTTATCATGGAAGATTTTGATGTTTTTCGCGAACGTTTACAAAATATAAATACATCATCAAATCAACGTGAAGATGATTTACAAATGACTGTTTTTCGTCCATTACATATTGAAAGAATGGAAAATGTTTCGATTTTATTTGCTGACATTGTTGGTTTTACTCAAATGTCATCCAATAAAAGTGCATCACAATTAGTTTCATTATTATCTGATTTATATGGAAGATTTGATGATTTATGTGTTCAAATGTCATGTGAAAAAATAGCTACTCTAGGTGATTGTTACTATTGTGTTAGTGGTTGTCCTGAACCTCGTCAAGATCATGGTAAAGCTTGTCTCCTAATGGGTTTAGCTATGATCAATGCTATTGAAGAATTTGATCAAGATAATAATGAACAAGTTGATATGAGAGTTGGTGTTCATTCGGGTTCAGTCAATTGTGGAATTGTTGGAACAAAAAAATTTAAATTTGATATATTTTCGAATGATGTTACTTTAGCGAATAAAATGGAATCAACTGGAAAACCAGGTCTTCAATTTTTCTTAAATTTGTTTTTGTCAATTTTTATTTTCATATTTAGGTTATGTTCATATCACTGAATCAACCTATTTATTAGTTAAATCAGATGAATTCCAATTTGAACAAGGTCCATCATATAAATTAACAACGAATCGTATGTTTATTTTTCTTTTAATTTAAATCAATAATAAAAATAATATTTAAGTTGAAATCAAAACATATTTTATTGGTAAACGACGTTTAAGTCATCGAATAACTCGAAAGCCTCCTCAAATGACACTAGCAACGGCCGCTGCATTTGCTGTTGCATCAGGAGTATCACTTAGTGTTCCATTAAATGATACAAATTATATATCAAATCAATCAACATTAGTAGTAAGAATTTTCTTATATGAAATTGAATTAAATTAAATTAAATTAAATATTTAAAGAATGTTTCAAGTCCATTATTAGAAGAAGTTGAACAAGCTCGTCGTGCAACAATTAGTGAAGATGATTTACCTGTTTGTTTAACAAATAATAATAAAAATGTTGAAAATTTAACTGACATTAAAATTGAAACGGAAGAAAAACAACTAAATATTCCATTAAATTTTTTAACATTAAAATATAAAGATAATAAATTAGAAAAATCATTTTCTCGAAAGATTCTTCGATATGAATTATTGATAATTGAAATTCTTTTATCTATTCTATCATTTTTATTATTATTTATTTATTTACCAAAACAAATTCTTTTATCAATAATAATGATTACATTTATATTAATTCAATTAATATTAGCACTAATTATTATTCGTTATTATAAAAAGTTAACCAATAATTTAATATTAATAAATTTATTTCAATATTTTTATTTATTATCACCATTAGTTTTATTATTAATAATACCAAAGGATTATTTAATAACACTATCATCATTTATATTATTTGTATCAACTTATTTAACATTATTTTCATCTATAAATCATTTAATTAAAATACTATTATCATTTTTATCGATATTAATTTATGTATTAATAATATTCTTCAATAATCATATTGAAATATTAATATTAATTAAAATAATTAGCTGTTTATTAATATCATTAATTATTAATTATGGAATCAATCGTCAAATAGAATTATCTCGTCGTTATGAATACAATGTTATTAATAAATCATCGGAACAAAGAAATGAAATTGAAAAAGAACGTGAACGTGCTGATTGGCTTTTAAGAAATATTTTACCTGAGCACGTTATTGAACCATTACGTCTTCTTGGCGGTTCATATTCGCGTAATCATCCATGTGTTGCTGTTCTTTTTGCTTCATTAATTAATTTTCATGTTATGTATGAAGAACAATATGAAGGTGGAAAGTTTTATGCAAGAATTTTAAATGAATTCTATGGAGATATTGAAGAATTATTTGTTGATCCAAGATTTTCAAATATTGAAAAAATAAAAACTATCGGAGCAACATTTATGGCTGCGTCTGGTTTACAAACGGATTCAAATGATGAAAATTCAATTAGTAAAATATAGTTATTTCTTAATTACTTCTTTTTTTTGTTCTTTTAGAATCAGTTTGTGATCTTATTGAATTTGCATTGGCATTTCAAGAGACAATGCATCGATTTAATCAGGCACTTTTAAATTTTGCATTCGAAATTCGTATGGGTCTTAACTTTGGACCTGTTACAGCTGGTGTTATTGGTACAACAAAATTATTTTATGATATTTGGGGTGATACAGTTAATGTTGCTTCAAGAATGGACTCAACTGGAGAGAAAGGAAAAATTCAAGTACCTGAATATGTTGCTCTAGCTTTAAAAGATAAATATCAATTTGAACTTCGAGGAGAAATTGATGTCAAAGGAAAAAGTCGAATGACAACTTATTTTCTTAAAGCAAATTCAAATAAATAATCTTATTTCTCAATTTATTTTGTTAGAATAGACTTCTCTTTTCTTTTCTTCTTTATATTACCTAAATAAAAACTACTTCATAGAATTGAATAAACAAATATTTATTAACACATTGATTTAATTATAGTAGACAAAAAAATTAAAACATTCGATTACAATAGTAAATAAGAGAGCAAAGCAAAAGAAAACTAATCATTGAATATTCATCGAATACTAATTTAGATCGAAGAGAAAATTTATGCATCTGATTATCTTTTGCTTTTGACAATCTTATTAAATATTGAACAAGTAATACACATATTCAGATTACTGAAGATATACTCTTTGCTTTTCTTTATTATTTACTATTTAAATAGATCTGTTACTTTTTTCAAAGAAATTTTTAATCCTTGACAACAATTGAATAATTTAGAAGAGATTTTTTTGAAAAAAAATATGATCATATTTATTCTCTTAAAAATTATCATTAACATATAAGAACTCTATTCTAATGGTTTATTATGTTGAATTCATTGAAAATAAATAATTCAATTCAATTGTTTTTTTTTCTTATAGATCAAGGCAATTTAATTGAATAATAATAATAAAATCTTTTTTTGTTTTTATCCTGATCAATCAATAAAATCTACTTACGATAACAAAAAAGGAATAATTCTTTTTGATCTTTTTATGAAATAATTCTGAGTTAGAAATATAGAATTAATTCGATTTCTATAAGAAAAGAAGCGAGAACAACCAAACAAATATTATCAATTCTATCTAAATAAATAAATTAATAATCAGGAAAGATTTCATATTTATTATTTCATTCTTATGGTAATCCATATAAAATTAATTATCAATTCATATTCAAAATATTTCGATTATTATATCAGTATCAAAATTACCTTGTATTTTATCGTTGAGTATTTCAACTTTTTTAAAATTAAACAAAAATTGTATCGGTCGTTCATCGAATTATGAAAATGTTTCCAAAAAGAAAAATGATAGCTAATAAAACAAAAAATATTCTTGTTCGTTTTCTTTTTATTCGTATATTTTTATTTATATATCAATGAAGAATGAAAATGACAGAAAATGGTTACTTAGACGCGACATAGTGTTTCTTTTCTTTTCTTTTCTTTTCTTTTTGTTTCTGTTCTTTCAATGGACAAAATAATCCTCCAATAAAGAGTGAAACATCGTGTGACACATCACATATCTACATACATTGATATTCAAAAAAAAAGAGAATCAAGAAGAAATAATATTTTCTCTAATTAAATAATAATGGACAAATTAGATGATAAACAACGTGCATTGATTCCACATTCTTTACGTGAATTAACCTTACATTGTATTTATAAAGGTCTTCAATTAGGACCAACAGTAACAATAGTTACAGTACTACCGTATAAATTTTATAAATCAAGAAAAAATCTTTCATTTATGTCAATTTTAAGTCGTGCTGGTACACTTACAATTTATGGCAGTTTTATTGGTGTTAGTCTTAGTTTAGCTATGATGCATATGAAATTATATAAGGAAAACTATAATGAATATAAAATTTGGGATAGAGCATATCGTTTAAGATATTCTGAAAGCCAAAAGCGTGCTGACAAGTATTCGTTAACATTTTCAATATTCGGTGGTTTAACAGCATTTTATATTGGTTTACCAAAAAAATTTAGTTCTTTATCAGCAACAAAAGGTGCATTAATGGCTATTCCATTTGGACTACTTACACATGTGATCACACAATATGCATCAAATCGATCGAATAAAAAAAACTAATCATTTAAATAAAGTTTATTCAATAGAAATAGAACTAGAAATATTTTTTATACTCTTGTTTATTATATTGATTAATATTTTGTGTGTTAGATTTGCTCTTGTTGAATATATTTCGACATAACAAAATAATTTCTTCAATGTTACTTTCGACTATTCTAATTTATGGAATAGATCAGAAAAACGCTCTTAGAAAGATTTTTTTTTAATACTGATAAAGCGTTGTTTACAGGATAAGACTCGTTTTTAGAGTGCTCAAATACTTATCTTTGTTTGTCATAATACAAAAAAAACTTCGTGAATTACACAGATTTATTTTCATTTGTAAATATTATCTATTTATTCAATATCATTTCAATCGACTTATAGATTAATCATATCGAACAGATATTTAGCGATGAATTATCTCATAAAGAAAACAAGGTGTATTAATAGATAAATTTTTAGTAATTATTCCGATTAGATTTTCCATTTTATTTTGTTTCTACGAAGAGAAAAAGTCTTTCTTTATTGTTTTATTCAATGACAAATTGAATTTACTTGGACTATTATTGGAAATTGGCTAGTTATTTTCCTTGTCTTTTTTGTTTTTTTGAAATTTTGTTTATTGATGATGATCGAAATAATTTAATTAATTTTTTTGAATTGATTAATTGATTCCATCTGTTATAGTTTGAACATTTTATTTATTCAAATGAAAGATTTTTATTCGAAACAATTCTTTTTGTGATGAAAAACATTTGTTTCAAGTCAAAATGAGTAAGTTAAATTTATTTAACTTCAATATCTTTCATTGTGACACATCCTATTAGAGTGCCTCCTACTGTAAATCTAATCTCAACTGAATATTTTCCAGTTGGTACAGATGATGTCACATTCATCGGCATATTGAATAATTGAACCCCCTTCAGCAGAGAATTAAATTAAATATTTAAATTAATAAAGAAGTAAGTTTTACTAACAGCTGGCAATGGATATGAACATGATTTGGAAAATTCACACCAATCATCGTAAGTACATGAGCCAACACCATCAGTACATGGAACTGTTACAGGAAAGAAAAGAACCTCTTTTTTTAAAGTAAACTGTGTCTAAAAAAATGAATTCATTTTTTAAGAAAAACAAATTAAAACCTATAAATAAATAAAAGACAACCTTAATTGGACCGGTCTGAACTGTGGCAACACTAACATTAAGGGCAAAGGAAACCACAGAAGGTCGTGTCATCGGATGAGGATCGATTTTAAGACCATGTAAATTAATAGCAATCGATGAGGCGCTAGAACAAGAACTATGTGAATATGTTTGTCCTTGAGCTATTATCTAGAAATAAGAAAAATATATTTTTCAGAAATTTATTCATTTTTTCCTACCGATGCAATGACAAAAATGAAGAAAATTGATAGCATTGTGTTTTTCAAACCTAATTTAAAACAAAAATGAAATATTAACAGATAATTCGATGATGGATATTTTTTACTTGATCTTTCTTGTTGTTAAATGATGTTTTTTTTGCGTATGAAAAATTGTTCGACTTTAATTCACTATATATATAAATAGATTATTGCTTATCTTTGTTAAAAACTTGAATAATCCGATCATAAACATAAAAATAAAAATAAAAAAGTACTTGAATTGAGATAGTTTTATTGATAATTGATAATAAGTCAAGTGATTTTGATCATAAAAGAATATTTTTTGTTTTTGTTTTTTCGAGAAATCTTTTTAAGAAATAGAATCTCAAAGGATTCTATTAGAATGTCAAAGTTAATTTTTTTCTTAGCGATAATTATATTTTTATAAAATAAAGGTTAATATAAATATTTTATTTTCTTCATCAAAGATTATCGAATGATACTTTTTTCTCTCAAATATTTATGTAATTCGATCTAAAAATATGAATAAATCGAATAAAATATTTTATTGATTTTAAACAAGAATTGATCTTGTTTGAAAAAATAAAAAATTACTATCACAATAAATTGCTTTATTTTCTCTCGATGTGATTGAATTCCAATGAATTTATTAATAAATCAGATAATAATATTTCTTCTGAATATTAAAATCTAGAAATTGGCTCGCTGATTGTTATTACGCTTCATTGAGTTCTCCAATCGAAATAATCTCACTTGGATACGTATTTGGTTTTGAAGAAAATTTATTCATAAAAATGTTTTATGATAATATTTAAAGCGACAGAAATCAATCATTAAAAAAGACTTGAATATTATTTAATTTGATGTTTCATTTGTTGTTTAATACTTTTAAATCGAAAGTTGAAGGAACCATTATCTAATTTAAATAATCATCTTTGACAAAAACAATCTTTAATAGATATGAATTCATATAATAAAATTTAAAATTTATGTAATAGTATTTTAACTAGATAATTCATGAAGAAAATTTCAGAAGTTGAGATATAACTTATAATTTTATCGACTTGAAAATGACAAGGATTTAATTATAATATATATATACGTGTAATTTAAATATAGGCGGGTGTATTTTAATTATTATTTATTTTACTATAGAATATAAAGTATGCCCTTTTCTCTTCAACATTCACATGCATAAACGATAATTATTTTTATGAAAGACGTCAGAATCAAAAACTAGTTCATCAAATTTACACTCATTTATGTTTATTAAATTGATGTTTCAAAACCTTTTTCTACTCTCATCTGAACTTGATGACTTTTTGACGAAGTACCAAAGACAGAAAAGAGTTTTTCTTTACATTGTACCCAATATAAAAAAAAAGTTGAAAATTTCATAAGAAAAACAGCTCATTTTTTCTGTAATGATTTCCTAGCAAGTATTAAAATTTCTATCTATTTGAAATAGTGGTGTCATAATCGTTTAAAAACTTTAAAGTCAAATAATATTACTAAGATTTGACAAAACAGAATAATTAAAAAATCAATGAAATCCTATATTAGACCATCTTGCCAAGTTTCCTATCCGTTAGTATTATGAGAAGTTTTTAGTAGACAGTGTGTATTTCGAATCTAAAGTAGAATAATAATTATAGTCGAGAATATTGGTTGGAAATTATAAGGATCGAAATAAGATTGTCGTCATCGTGCATTGGAAATCTGTTCAATACGGATTTTTGAGTCATTTCTCAAGATTCATTAAGATTTTAGTTGATATTTGTTCAGAACCCATTGAAATCTTTGAAGTTTCTAAATTCCAATAACTAAGGATGTTGACAAAATTCTTTAGCAACACACTTTGTTCTTGATTCAGTTGTTTGCACACAGAAAAATAGCAAATTCAAGTTCACTTCTTATTATTTGATCTGCCAATCGTTTTAGTAGGATGACATGCTAAGATAATACTGATGTCATTGATTTGATTTAATTTCCGTACTTTAAATGTCTAGATATCACCAACTGCTACGCAATTGCGCTTTTACAACGTTCGACGCAATCGAAGCATTTTCTCTCTTCAGCCATTGCAACGATACTGATTCGCATATTCACCTTTGTTCTGCTCCTTCAGAAAGAAACTCTGATTAAAACATTGACATATCACGCTAGCTATTCCAGGAAGCCTTTCAACTTGAACATGCATTTTTTCTTTGCCTAAAAATTTATGTTTGATTCTTTCAAAATTTTCTTTAGTGTTGAAGATTGAATTCCATTTTGATTTAGTCTATGCCAATGGAAGCGACGTTTCTATATTTCACTAGTCGTTTTCTTGATCATTTATAGATCTTGAAAGAATAATTGAATAAAAGAGAATCCAATTGTTCGATGTTTTTCTAACCAATGTTTGTTTTCGTTTAATATGATTAGCAAAAGAGACAAATTCGTTTGAATTTTTGATTTCGATGAAGAAAGGCACCATCTATAAAAGCTACATTTCTTTTTAGTAGCCTTCCTTGTCTACGAAAAAGAACAACAAAACATTGTTTATCACATTTTCACATATTGTTTTCTGTGCTCTTTAAATTACTACGTAACGACAGTTGTTATCAAGGACATATCATGTTGATTTAAATTATTGAATTTCTATTGATCTATGCATTATTATTATTCTTCAAATTCATAACAATGGAGAGACTGATTGAAATTGAGACACCGATTGGTAAATTTAATGTATGGACAAAAGGTATCGGTAACAATGCAAAGATAAAATTATTATTGTTACATGGTGGTCCTGGTGGCACTCATGAATTATTTGAATGCTTCGAAAATTTCCTTCCGAAAGAAGGAATTGAAATTTATTATTATAACCAGCTTGACTCTTTTTTAAGTGATCAACCAAATGATCATAGTTTATGGACAGTTGAAAGATTTGTCGATGAAATTGAGCAAGTTAGAAAAGCGCTAGACTTGACTAAGGAGAATTTTTTTCTTTTCGGTCATAGTTGGGGCGGTATTGTAGCAATCGAGTACGCTTTATTATATCACAATAATTTAAAAGGTTTAATTATCAGTAATATGATGAGTAGCTGTCACGATTATGCTAGATATCTGGAAAATGTGATATGCAAACAGATGGATCCAGATATTGTGAAATCTATTAAACAGTTAGAAGATAATCATGATTAGCAGAATCCTAAATATATGGAACTTTTGGTGCCTAACTTTTATTGTAAATTTTTTTGTCATCTACAACCATGGCCTGAAGTTGTTGATCGTGCTTTATCTCATTTAAACACTGATATTTACAATTTATTACAAGGCCCATCGGAATTCTCAATAACAGGAACATTAGCTAGTTGGGATCGAAAAGAAGATCTAGTTAAAATAAAAGTACCCACACTTATCATCGGCGCTACATATGATACAATGAATCCAGAATATTTACAATGGATGGCTAGTCAACTGGAAAATAGTTCATCTGTAATTTGTCCTAATGGTAGCCATTGTGCAATGTGGGATGATCAACTATATTATTTTTCTAAACTTATTGAGTTCATTAAAAATGTTGCTAATCAAAAAGAAGACGCCGAAAATTTAGACAATAATTTATTTGTATGAATTTAGTTTTTAAAAATGAGTTTTACAAAACAAACTGCCAAAAGGCATCATAATTTTAGAATTGTAATATTATATAATCACTTTTTTAAATATTTGATGAACTTTATAGGTTTAGGATGTTTGTTAGTTGCTCCGAAGGTTTGTAAAATATATTTTGATATGTACACTTTGAATTTAGCTTGTGCTGATAGATCTCTTTTGAAGTAGTAAAATATTTCATATATCAATGAACAACATTAACAAGATTTGATTCAGGATAGAACCGAATAAAGTAAAAGGATTAAGCCATCATTAGAGAGTATTGTTCTGATATTCAATGTGTTAATCTGAATCATAATTTTTGATTATTTTTATCTTATTCATCTTATTATCGAGCAAATTTTATGAAACAAAAACGATTCCAGCAACATTGGACAAACGTCTCGCCATATCACTACACTCAGTTGTACATTGAGAAGCACCAAGTCATCGACTGATACAATTAGTTTTCATTCTTTCGATGAGTCGATGATTGATAATTGTAACAGTAGATCAATGATAAGAATTAATAGTTTTATTTTAGCGTTCGTCGATTTCAAGACTCGTTCATGTGGCTGCAATAATGAAAGTATTTTACGAGGTCCTGATAATGTTTCATTTGGAAATTGGTAATCAACTAAATAACTCCGTCAACAAGTTCATATCTAGCAAATGGAATACAAATTGAACTGAATCATAAAGGCAACAGTACAATTAGAAGACATATATTTGAAAAGAATCTATCACTTGATCCATTTATTAGAAAGTAAATTGTGACTGTCTACAAATCTAATCTAATAACAAAATCAAATGCAGAAACCAACGCAAAATTAATTGATGAACTTCAAAATCTTGGTAAATAGTCGATGTTACCCTCTCTTGTACTCATCCGAAATACTTAACAGTAACTTAAAATTAAATAACGAAGAAAAAAGTTCAGGATTTATGAATAGCAGATTCTATCACTGATATTAACCACCGTGAATTTTGTACATGATATTGATCAATTATTTTTTCAAATTGATGAAAAATCATGGTAATCTTATATTAAATTAATAATTAAGATGGGAGATGTCGTTTCACGTATTTAGAAATACATTTATTTCAAGTTTATCATTGCTTCTAGGGAAGACTTTTATCAACTGCTATAAATAAATTTTATTACGAAAATAATATGTTTTTTGTACAATTTGTTTTTAAACGGTTGCAAGAATGCTGGAAAATTTGCTTGACGAAAATCAATCCTGTGAAAATTCTTTCTAAGAATTGCTTCAATCAATTGATATTCAATTTTTTTTTCATACGATTAATATCTTTATGCTAATGTTAGGCTTTTCTAATATCGTTTTCTGACGAATAATGTGTCAACCAAACGAAAAAGAAAACGAAGAATCATTTTGGTTATGCATGATTTCACAAATATTGACGTTTAATGATAAGAAAGAAAAAAAACAAATATTTTTTTTGTCAGTTGACCTTACAGAGACAAGATTCGTTTGTATGAAATTGCGTTTATTATTATTCATTTTATATAAATTTATAGAAGAAATTGTTCTAAATCAAAATCTTTGAAATATTTTTATTTTATTTCAATTTATTTAGATTTATAGTTTTTGATTGGCTAATTAAATAAAATAAATTAAAAACAAAAGAATTTCATGGCTGAGTATTAACATTTTTTTCACAATAAATATCGTTTTTTATTCAATTATTTTACTTTCATTTAGGAAGAAAGCTCAAACTCAAACTGCCTCAGTTGATCAGCCAGAAATGGTTGTTCTTCTATTGCTTGCTATTATTCTTGTCGGAGTTGTTATTGCTATTCCAATCATATATACAACTGGAAGAAATCCAGGTTTTTCGATATTGAATGTCATAATAAAAATTCAAACTAATATTTTCTTTTTAAAGCCGATTCTATCGATCAAAGTATAACAAATGTCTCAACAGGTATTTAGAATCGAAGAAAAACTAATTCTAAATAAAAACAAATGAATATTTTCCTTTTAAATAGATTATACAAAAAATGAATGTACACAAACATTTTCAAATGTCGAAACAATAGCTTATTTAACTTATCAGGAACCATTTCCATTTAAACTTCATACTTATATCTATCGTCCAACAGTTATTACAACAAGATTATCAGTCATGTTTGCATTTCGACATGATACTAGCTCTTGGTCATTAGATAAAATATCATTTAATGATACAACAAATGATCAAGCTCTTTTTACAGACGGAGATTTTGAATCAAATTATTTAAATAAAAATTATGAGCAATGCATTTTATCAAATACACGAAGTTCAATAACTGATATTTTATTTGATAATCCTTATTCAAACGATTTTTATTATAATGATCAAACAAATGTTGGAATGACTTATTTAAGTCAACAAATTGATGTTATTGGTGGAAGATATTATAATATATCTTTTTATCTTGAAAATCGAGGTTATCCAAACAATACTTTTCTTCTTCTTATTGGTTATTAACTTTAAATTATTTCTTTTTATTTTGTCTCATAAGAATTCTTTATTTAATAAATAAATACTTTTATTATTTGAAAAAGAGAAAAAGAAAAGAATATTTATTAGATAAGAAAATGTAAATAGAATAAAATAAAATAAAATCAATGAAAAAGTAAAGTACTTTATTTTTATTCTTTTTGTAAGTAAAATTTACCAAGTTTGAACAGCTTTTTCACAACTATCATAAACAGTAGTATTTTTATTTCCCCACCATTCTGGAAAAGCAATATTTTTATTTTTGAATGCAGTACTAACAATAATTATTGTTATATTAAGACCCAAATCAAGAGCAGCCGAAACTAAATAAACATGACGTTGTCTCCAACTATATTTACCAAATGAAAAATAAACAATTAGACCAATTAAAAGCCAAGTAAATAGTGCACCGGCTGGTACAATGGATGGCATCCAACCAATAGTAACAAATATTAATGGCCAATGTAGTTTATTTAACCAATGAAAACGTTTAAATTTTGATAAAAACCATCCTGGTATTGGTATAAATGCTCCAACTAAAAATGCCCATAATAAATCTCGATTAGCTAAATTAGTTCCATTAAAAAATCCATTGTAATCATTTAAAAGTGTCCAACCAAGTTTAGTATTATTAAATATTGACCAATTAACTGTTTTTTTTCCTTGTTTAAAATACATATAACGAATTGCAATCGAAAATGTTGAACATACAAAACCTGCAAGACATTGCGCAGCAAATAATGGACGTGGACCTATTTTAATATAATGAGCTAATTTCATATCTTGAATTAAAGCCAATGTTTGAACAAATACAACATAACCAAGTGCAATAAATGTATAAATATTTTTTGCTGATGTCTGTAATGATAATGATTGTGCAATTAATAAACATATATAATAAACAGATAAATTATGCAGTAATTGTCCAGTTATAGATGATACCAATCCAAACGGTAATGTAAATAAAGCTCCAATAAATAATGATAATAAAACATAATACCAACTTAACCAACCAGCATGATCACATGTAACACAAGCAACAATCAATGCTAATGCAAATAATTCTAAATACCACCAATCAGGAACTGTTTTATAAAGTGATATCATACGAGCATGCATATCATTGCCCATGTTTGCTAATGTTTTTGTACGAAATTGTTGCCATATATCAATACCATGAAATAATAATGCATGAACAAAAACAGCTGTTATACTTGCAAATGATGCAAATGCAGTAACTAAACTTAATGCTGTAAATTCTGTTGATACAACTCCACCTATTGGTAATGTTGTAAATGATCTTATATTTGTTCCATATACAATTGGAACAATAAACCAAATAATTAAAACAAAACCAAATGCAATATTAATTAATGCCCAACCAGGTAAAATTAATGGTGATCCAAGATATATTGTTACTTGATACCAATCTAATGATAAACCTCCACCACCTATAGCAAGACCACGTACTGCTGTTAATTGTGCTAAAGCATTGTTTGATGGGCTAATCCAACACATCCAAGAAAAATAAGCTAATATTGGCATTATATATAATGGTAGCCATTCATATACAAATGCAATTATTGATATAACACAAAAAAATAATAAACGATTATTTAATAATTTTTGTATTAAACTTAGATGTTGACTTCCATATGATGCTTCTGTTACACTCGATTGGCGTTCATGAAATGTACGTAATACAGCTATTAATGGTAGATTTTGTGGCCAAATAACTTCACATGGCCAAACCAAAAATCGACGAAGAATTCCTTTTAAATTTTATTTATTATTGTTTAATGAATAGAAACTAATGTAAAAGAAAAATCTATTTACCTGCAAGACCGAATCCAAGAAATTGAATTGAAAGAACAAAAAAGAAATAATAAGCAAAATTGGCATCTTCTCTTTCAAGTACTTTCAATGTTGTTAAAGTAGCATAGATAAAAACTGAATTATACAGATAGGCAACATTAGCCATAACTAAAATAAATGCATGTTCTTTTAATGTAAATTTTCTTGATCTAGGTACAATTAAAGTCCATAAATGTCCTAATGGAAATGAAGAAACAATAACTAAAACTGATGCTATAAATGGAGCCATATTTTGAAAAATTCCCCATTGCTGTAGATATGACATTCCAATAACATACATTAAACCAATAGTAACACTTCTTACTGTACAACAATGTTCATCAACATTATCTTTATTTGAACATGTTCCAGCTACTTCTTCGAATTGAGCCATTTCAGCATCGACATATGCATAACATGTTTCTTCTTCTTTCTTATCAAGTTTCTCCATTGGATTTTTTTCTTTTCTTATTCTAAAACGTCTTTAATAAAAATTTAAAATATTTCTTTAAAAAACAAAAATATTCGGTCAAATAATATCACAGAAAAGATTCCCTTATTGATTTCATTCATGTCGTAATGTGAGCAAAAGAAATGTTTACTTTATTTTGATCTCTTCTTGAAATAAACGCATGACTAGTTATAAGAATCATTCATCCTTAACATATACTACGTATTTTTAATTTTTTCTTTCTCGATCAGTCAAAATCATTTGAATTATCTTGTTTTTTTTTCGTCGCTACATTATGTCTGCTATTTCTGTATCTTTTCTTTTTAATTAGAAATAAAACAAATCAATAAAATGGATAAAAAATCATCAGAAAAAGAATTGTTAGACAATGATGATCAATCAAAATCTTTGTAAGTAAAAACAAATAAATTTTTTTCTTCTGTTATTTACCAAGAAAACAATCATTTTTAGAATAAAACAGATTTATTCAGTAATTCGTGAAAATTGGCTTGCATTTCTATTTGCATTAATTATAAGTTTAATAATAATAATTGTTGTTCCTATTGTTTATTCAATTGAGACAAAAGTTTCTAGAAGTATTTATTCTTATCAAAAAATACAAAATATTGAAATTTCAATCATTTTATTGCCTAGATAATGGTTCAAATTTAGCTTGGAATGTAACAGGAATAACAATTTTTAATAGAACACTTCTTGCATCGCAATCGCCAAATTTATCCTTAGGATTAATATCTGCAATAGGATTTGATAGTAATTCAAATCTTTACATTGTGGATAAAACATATCATAGAGTTTATCAATTAAATGAAAATTATCAATTTTTAACATTTATTGGCTCTGAAAATGGTTTAGCAGGATCTGATTTAAATTCTTTAAATTCTCCCAATGATATTTATATTGCTTCACCGAATAAAATTTATATTGCTGATACAAACAACAGTAGAATTGTTTGTTGGGATCCCTCCTATAGAAATCTAAGCCTTGTTTATGGTGAAATAATTTTTTTTAAATTTTATTTACTATTTGAATATTTCAGGTTCAAATAATTCACCAGCAAGTCCATTAAATAGTCCAATGTCAGTAACAATGGATTCAAATTCAATAATGTATGTAGCTGATTATGGAAATAATCGTATTGTATCATTTAATATAAGTGATAAAACTCCAAAATTCTCACTTAAGTTAGCAAATAATCAAAATAATGAACGAGAAACATATGTTACAACACCAATAACAATTAAATATGATATAACAATGGATTCAATTATTATTGCTCAAGAAACAGGTTATAATGTTGTTCGATGGGATACAAGTTCAACGCCAGCAACATGGACATTAATTGCTGGATCAGCCAGTAGTGAACTTAGTGGAACATCAAGAACATTATTTAATAAAGTTTGTTATGCTAATGTTGATCGATATGGAAATACATATGTTGCTGATTGTTACAATCAACGTATACAATATTATCAAGGAGATTTAACTAAAGGAAGAACAATTGCTGGTGTCATTTTAGCTCAAGGAACAAATCCTTATTTATTTAATCAACCAACATCAGTTACTCTTGATAACGATAATAATCTTTATGTTTCAGATTCCAATAATTATCGAATACAAAAATTTGTAACAGTTTAAATTTAAATAACAACTTAAATAATATTTAACATTTTTTATTATTGTTGTCTTTCTTTTAATAATATTTTATTCATTTTTCAAATTGATTCTATCTTAATTAATAAACAAACCAATATGTAATATCAAGTTTGTCTAGATACACTTCGACGATCTCAATTAGATTTTTTCATTTGTTTTTTTTTTCATAGTGTTAATGATTGATTGAAATAAAATATTTTTTCAAATTAATAAGTAAATGGTAATTTGTAAAATAGTTTCGATAACGAACGTCTTCTTAAATGAAGAAAAAAAAACAATTTTCCCAGCAATTTAAAGTCATTAAGAAAAAGTAAATATAAAATTTTTGTTTACCATAAAAAATATTCTCTCAGTGATTCATTGTAAAGAAAAGAAAATTGTTGTGACTATATGTATAAGTGTTTTTTCTTGTTAACACATTTAGATTTAAATAAAATTTAAAATTGTTGTTCGAAAAATAAAAATTCATTTGTTATTTTTCTTTTTCGAAGTTAAAATAACTGAAAAAATAAAAATTCTCATCTAATTTTATTCAATAAGATTTTTTATTAATAAAAATCGAAACAAATATTCAATGGATCAAATTGAATCAAATCTAACAACAACAAATGATAAAGAAATAAATAAAATTTACAAAACAGAACTTTTTATCGATTTACAACCAACAGCAGTATGTAATAATTCTATTTTTTTTTAAATTTCAAGTAATCATCTATATATTTTATTTTTAGTTAAACAGTTCTGAATTAGCTTGTCGTTGTCATAAATGCAAATATTTAATTAATTGTGATAATGAAAATGAAATAAAATTTAATAATCGATCTTATCACGTTAATTGTTTTACATGTATTATGTGTAATGATAATCTTAACAATTTAACAAATAAAAAATTTCAAATAAATAATGATGGTGAAGCAATATGTACCAAATGCGAATGTAAACAAGCAAACAAATGTTTTCTTTGTGAACAAGCTATTGTAAGAGAAGAATCAATTATTTTAGATAATAATTATTATCATAAAAATTGTTTTCAATGTTTTCAATGTCAAAAATCATTAATTAATGAAAAAAATTTTCGAATTCATTCTCTAAAACTTTGTTGTTTTCAATGTTATAATGAACATTTTGGAATACGATGTGAAAAATGTTCTGAAGTTATTTCTAATGGAATAGCAACTAGTTATAATGGAAAAAAATATCATCCAGATTGTTTTCAATGTAGAAAATGTAAAAAAAACATAATTGATAGTAAATTTACAATACATGATGATCAAATTTGTTGCATTGAATGTTATAATGAACATTTTACAGAGAAATGCTTTCAATGTTTGAAATCACTTTCAAATCGAGAATCAATAATTTTTAATGAAAATACTTATCATTTAGATTGTTTTAAATGTGAGAAATGTAATAAAACAATAAATGATCTTAAATTTGCAACATATAATTCAAAAGCTTATTGTATTCAATGTTACAATGAAAATTTTGCAGTTAAATGTTATCAATGTTTAAAACCCATATCGGTTGGTAAATCAATAGTTTATAATGAAAATAAATATCATTCAAATTGTTTTCGTTGTTTTCGATGTGACAATATTCTAAATGATTCAACGTTTTATAATGAAAATTCAAAACCTTGTTGTATTAAATGTTATAATGAATATTTTGCTGAAAAATGTTATCAATGTTTAAAATCAATAACAATAGGAAGATCAATAATATTTGATAAAAAAACTTATCATCCTGATTGTTTTCGTTGTTGTCAATGTAATAAAATAATGAACGATTGTCAATGTCGAACGGAAAATGATAAACCATACTGTATACAATGTTATGATCAATATTTTAGACCGCGATGTTCAAAATGTTCAAAACCTATTATTGATCAATATACCATGTTTGAAGGAAAAAAATTTCATAGTAATTGTTTCATTTGTGTTAAATGTTGTCGAATAATTAATAATAAAGAAAATTTTTATCGTGATCAACTTGGTATTCTATGTTCCAATTGTATTATCTAAGTAATCTATTCATAACTTCAATTCTTTACTTTGATTTTAATTTATCTTATATTAATTAATATTAGAAAATATATTTATTCTAGCTATACGAAAAAAAATAAAATAAAACTAAAAATTTGATTCTCACAATTTTGTTCGTGTTTTTTTTGAATCAATCATTCAATCTTAGCTAATTTTAAGTGTTGAAAAATCATATTATAACTGACAACTATGCGTTGCTCATAGAAAATAATACCGGAAAATATTGTCAATAGACTACGCTTACTCAATGCATTCAATTATTTACGAATTTTGTTTTATTATGTGCGTTTAGGAGTAAGATAAAAGCTAGTCGAATAAATTGTTTGCATTGCCGATACACTCATTTTTATCTATTTGAAAGTCTTCACGTTCGTGGTCTATCACAGTGTGATTACATTGTATCCATACATGATAAAAGAACACTCAAAACATTTTTAAGAAAAATATCACGAGCAATGAAGCATTATTGGCTCTCTTCAAAACCGAGTGTCTTTTAGCTATTGGTGAATCAGTTTCTTCCCTCATAGACGAATATAATACATCAACTTTGGTGCATCATCATGAACACATCTGTGACGAGGTATCAGAGCACGGTAAAAGATCTTATGGTGACATTCTTGTTGCAGTTAGATTAACGACTACACAATGCTTGCTAAAAACTGGGTGAATGACTCCATAGGACGGACGTAAGCTTCGAGATACGTATTCACTCAACTACCCGAGCTGAATTGATCTATTGAAGTTTGCTGATGTCATCAATACAGAATTCAAAAACCATCTAACGCTCAGATGGAAATTATTTACTTCGAAATTTCTGATAGGAATTTCATTTTATAGATTGAATTAGCTGAATATGGATAAAAACAGATCTATCTTGAAAAATGGCACGTCTAAAACAAATCATATGACAATCCGCACTCATTCCAAGGTATAAAAAATACCTGCGAAAAAGAATGATTCTTTCATAAAATAAATCCAACATACATATACACAGATGCATGTTTCTCAAAACTTGATTTTACTAAAAATCAAAAGTGAGGAAAAATCTAATCTCTATCAAGTAAGCGACGAAGTTATTGTAGACTATCCAACATTTTACCTAACTAGAGAACTAATTGATTTCATGTGGGTTTTAACTTAGAGTTTTATTTCTAAATAAGCTGTAGATATATATCAGATGATACTATCTCGTATATTTTATGTATGATAATCAAAATAGCATAACATATATGAATTTTTTTAACCATTATCACGAAGAAAATATAGTCATACTCCTAGGTGATTAGTTTTCAACTGTAATTTCTATGAAAACTGATATTGCATGCAGGGAATACTAATCAATAGCTCTACTGTATCGAATACATCATAACTTCCCTGTTGAAATTTTCGTATAATGTTCTCTACAATTCATTATAGAGTTCAACAATAGATCTTATGAAATAGTTTGATTATCAGTTTTAATAGTCCATTCTATTCTAATGATTTCTTCAGCGAATATGCAATCGAGATAAAAGTTTTATCCTTGCATAGGATTTATTGAAGCATCGAAAAAATGACAAAACTATGTGTAAGAAGACTTTTTTTGCCACATTATCTTCATGCAACGTAAATGTTATCCATTGATGACCTCTTCACAGTTGATACCACGATATTGTGAACCACAAAAGCAAAAATATGAATTTCCATTATTGTAACATGGACGATTATTTCGACATGGACTGTTACTACATGTTATGCCAGCTAAAATCAAAATTTAACTTTAAAAATTTTTGTATTAAAATATTTGTCGATTCAAAATTAAATATATAAAACTTGTCATAAGTTTTCTAATAGTTCTTGGTGAATATGAAAATAAATTATTAAACGGATCTCTTCACGTTTTGCTAGAAAATACTCATGAATAATTATTCTATGAAATAAATCTTTAGATTCTTGTAACGAAGTCAAGAAAATTGATTACTGTTATAATCAAAAGTTAAAAAGAGAATAGATGCTTTGGATTGAATCTAATTTATACAGATCAATCATAGTCAGCGGTACATTTGCGAATATGACCATGTTACAATTGAAAACGGTAGCTGTTTACGGTAGCTGCATTAAAAACCGCAAACGATCACTGTGGAAAGCTTTTGTGGATAGATAGTTTAATAATGGAGGGTTTCACAGTATCGAGATAACATTAACTCGAACATTCTAAACAATTTTGTTAAACATTGATATTTTTATGTGATTTCAGTCAGAAGAAAAGCTTTCGACATATTGAGACATTTTTCTGCTTCAAATACGTGATTTATCTAGTAGTACATCATCCTGGTGCTTGTAAAACTAGACAAAAGCCCTTATCTCGATGAATCTATCTATGACTAATGACCTATGGAACATTTTGCGCTGAGGAACAACTTTGTCTTCATAATATTAACCTTATGAGTAGTACATTATGAGTGGCCTTCACTGTTAAAATATACCTGTCACTTTACACTTCAAATAATCAAATACTCATGCAGAATTGCTTTTAAATCTGTGACGAGTTGAATAGCTCATAGAGCAAAATAGTGTACCTTGCATCGTGTAAAATACATCTTTATTGGTAAGAAATTTCTTTTCTTGAGGCTATAAAAACTCAATGCAATTTATATGTAGGTAGCATTTTTCCATAGTTGAATGAAAAAAGCGAATTCAAATGAAAATTCAGTTATCTGGGAATAGTGATTTCGAAAACGAAAGTTCTCATAAAGAATCCATTTTGACCCACGGATATGTTTTAGTTATTTTAAGTTACGTAAAAGGATTTTAAATAAAATCATTAACGTTTCCTTGAAAAATAGGAACTGCTGTTTTATCTTGGTGAAAAATAAGGTAAAACATTAATTGTAATGAGAGATTAAATGAAAATACCTGTAGGTAAATTCGTTTGTCCTGGTGCAGTTGATGGATTAGTTGGTCCTGATACACTTGCTGGGTTAGTTGATCCTGGTGTGGCAGAAATCGGCCCTCCTAAATAAAATAATTCTTTCTGAATAAAATCTTCGAAAACATCTAATCTAATTTTTGAATCATTTACATAAGAAATTAAATTAAATATTCTATTTTTTTTAAATATTTGTTGCATCGGTTGTAATATTGTCTATGATATAAGAGTGTGCATGAGATGACGATTTTTCACTTGTATGATATTGAACTAAGAGGGAAACTAGAGGTGTGGGTGTAGGGGATAGATCTGACTGAAAAAATACCCACACCTACACCCACACCCACACCCACACCCTGAACCTTTTAAGGTTCCACATTTCTGTCTAAAACCGTTTTTATTTCAAGACTTTTTGGCTGGAACTTTAAAAAGGTTCTGAAAATGGTACCGAGAAAAGGTTCAATATGACACCTATTTTTACAGAATATGATTAACCAGCTTAACGAAGTGTCTCATATAGAAATATTTAATTGTAAAAATTGAAACTTAAAAAAAAACGTTTTGTAAAGCCCAAATACAACCTCAAATTGATATTCAATTACCCTGAAAAATCCTTTCGAACTAACCGAGTCATGTTTAACACTACACTGAAAAAAAATATCACCACACGGAACTATTTTTGAAACGAATTCTAAACCTTCAAAAAGGTTTCGTAAAACCCCAAGATAGTCTCAAAATGATTATCAAAAGCCCAGGAAAGTTTTTCGAAGGTTTTGTGGAAAACCTACGAAACCATTTTTAAGTTCAGTGAGAGAATTCGAAACCTTCTTGGTTCCGTGTGGTACTATTTTGTTTTTCAGTGTACCTTTTATGTTTGTAGTTTGTATGTATAAAACCTCTTCGATCATAGTTAACATTACTTTTATCAATGCAGTATCACGAACTACTAGATCTATACTCTTTAGAGTATCGAACTGTTATTTCGACCAATCAGTTTGAATTATTTGATGAAAAATACTATTGGAAGCTCTTTAGCTTTGCTTTATATCAGCATATAATCAATTAATATACTTTAAAAATCACACTTAAACCAGATTGAATAAAGGAATAGGGGAGATATTCTTGATGAAATCATGTTCAGTCACACGACAGATTTCATGGAGAGCAGTTTTATATCTTGAAAGTTCGTAAATCACACATCAATAGCTGTGCTCACGAAACATGTTGCAGTTAACATTCATATTTACCATTCGTCATCGTCAGATATTTTATATTGCTCTCGGATTTCTTTTGATATATAACGACAATTTTGCTCAATGAAACTCTCAAAGTTCGTTCTATGAATTGTGATAAAGGAAACACTGTTACAGAACGGTAATTTGTTGAACTATTTCGATAAAAAATGTTTTCTTTTGATACGACCGAAAAAATATTGCATCTAAATATACTAGTAGTGTAGAACTCGTTAATGCGAAACAGCTTTTTCATTTTTCAAATTTTGATTGGCATTATGGAGAACTAACTTCATGTACACATAATCTTAAGTCAAAGCCTTACGAGAGACCGCGGCACGCTCTTGACCAATGTCGCAAAATATTAGTTACGTAGCCTGAAGTCCAATTTGCAATACTATAGTCTTTTCTATGGTCTGATAAAGGTTTGAAAAAAAATGTAAAGACTCAGTTAGTCTTGCTACAAGTGCAAACTCGGATGATACACACGCTACCTAGAATACTACTACAATCATCTTTTGATAGTATCTTTAAAATCATTTTGAAAGTACGAGGTTGAACACAGAGGTAGTTCTCTATAGACTAAGCGAACAAAGATCGGTAGTGATCGAAAACAAAGTTCATTCTAGCGCAAATGCCCCTCACTCCAGTTCTCAAGCTGAAAAATTAGAAACTAGAAAGAGTTAAAACATCTAAATGACTCTCGGCACTTCATAACTTTGAGTTGTTACCATTACGTACCTGATGGCACCGGTCCCGACGATTCTTGACATTTGTCGCCTGTGTATTCTGGTGGATATTTACATTTCACTGTTGTATCAAACTCACAAGTTCCTCCATTTTGACAGTGATTTAAAAAATATTTGCACACTTCCGATTCTGTGGTGGTGGTTACTGTCGTAGGGACAGTGGTTGTCAGTGTAACCTGACAACGGAAACCAGTTGATTCAGGTCCGCAAAGGCATTTCCGTGGAATAGCAGGGTCAGTGTTTGGAATGCAAATAGCGTCGTTTTCACAATAGTCATTTGCACAACCTTTAAAAATGGATCATAAAAAATCGAATTGAAATAAAAAAAACTTAATACGATTGAAACACGACCATACGTCTCTTTAGAAGACAGTAGTCAATGATTTCTCTGAAAATTAATCAACAATCATAGAAGTACTAATGCCGCTCCTCTATGATGACGTATTTTATTTTCTTTGAAAGGTTTCAAGAAAAGCCAGCAATTTCTTTTCGAAACTAAATTTCAATTTAAAGAAAATGCCACAAACTAGCACTCCATCTTCTTCCATAGACAAGAGGTATCTGGGATTAAATTTTTTGTTCGATGTGAATATTGTAAGAAGAAATCATCTGATGTCCGAGAAGAAAGTGTATGAAAATCATAATCTGTCGTAACTCTTTCGAAAAAATTTGATAATGCATAAAATAATATCCTAGTTGTTAGGTCAATGTGCTTTTGCGATTTTACAAAATAATTTAGGGTCCTAGAAAAACTGAAAAAAAACTATGTTTTTAACTATGATTTTAAATTTCTGAGTACCTCTCTTTAAACAATCTATTCGAAAACAGATTTTTGAAGGCCTTTAATTTTTAAAACAGTTTCCATTGCCATTTATTTCGTATCTAGCTTTCTATAAGAATCCCATGAAGTTTTTATGAATAATTAATTTGCGACTCAAAAGTAAAATAACACGTATCCGAATCTTTTTCACAGAAGTCGCCAATCTTATCTGCTGGACATACACACTATATCTGATTGCTGTCATCTAGCTGACAGTCACCAGTATTACATACTTTTGGCAAAAAATCTGGACACTGGACAGCCCGTAGCATTGCTGATCCTTTTATGGAAAATCTAAATCCTGTTCTTTCAGTGGGTTTTCGAACATCATTGCAACGTGTTCCCATCCATCCAGGCAAGCAATAACACTTAGGACCATCGTCAGTTAGCCTACAGATACCATTCTTGGCACAGTAGTTCAAACAGCGTTTTTTATCAGCCACTGATTCGACCGGGGTAGGAGAAGCATCGATCAATGATAGGATGGTTAATAGGAAGAAGATATTAAAAGAGAAACAGCGTAGCGTACTCATTTTTGTTTTTCACTTCGAATTTTTCTGTAAGATTAACTGCGCACTTTGCCTGGAATGTATATATATAGATGTTGAATTATTTACTTGAAGATTGATTTGTAGAGTTAGGAAAGCCTTATTTACAAATATATATTGAGATTAAGTTGAAGATTTAATTTCATCAACTTGAAATGCAATCTGATTTTTTACGCAATGTTAAACACAACAATAAAGTAGATATATGTGAATACCTGGAAAATATCTGTCATCGTATAATGAAAGCTGTGATGCTAGATAAATGTGTCAAGCTTATATCCAATAAACAAGAGAAATCAAACCCGAACAAATCATCTTAGATAGGAATTAGAGTATTTGATTGTGCAGAATTGCATATCAAGTTACATAGTGATTACGTTGGTTTGACCTGATCAGTTGCTCGGGATTTGAAGGATTACTTTGTTATGTTTGTCTTTGTCTTTACGAATTCATAAGCATAGTTTGTTTTGAATTTTATTCTACTGATATAGTTGGAAACGAGTACACAAGATATTGCGCGCGCCTAGGTGACGAACTTGGCCCATCAAGAAAGAATATATTTTTTCGTGTTTGTAATCTCTTTGGCTGTGTTATAAGTGTCACTGGAAAACTTATTTACTTAACATTTTTTCTCTCTGTATGAATGAAGGAATATCGTTTTTCATATGTTACTGATGTTCTTCAAAGTTAAAGAAATAAAATGTTAAAATGCATATGGATCCAAACATCTTTTTACTTACTTATATTAATGTGAATATATTCTTTACTTTTTTAGTGCTCTAATATCTTGACTATTGAGTAAACGGAGTAAGACAAGTATTTTATTGGAGTTTGTAATTGAGAGGATATATATATATATATTTGAACTTTTTCTATCTAGAAAATTTTTGAAAATGGCTCACTGGCATCCGAGGTCGAGCAATCCGACAGTAGGCACCTATCGGAACCCATCCGATCCGACTGGAATCCAATAGAATTTTATCGGATCCTGTCAGATCTTACAGGATTATCGTTGGATTCCTGGTCGAGGAATAGATGTCGGATCCTCAGTGTCGTATTTCTATAAATTCCAACAAAAAACCGTTGGATGTCACCGGAAGTTCATAGAATCCCGACACTGAGAATCCGACATAGATTCTTCGACCCGGAATCCAATAGGATTGTATCGGATTGTAGGATATTTCCAGGTTCCTATCGGATTAGTCGACCTGGGATGCGATTAAGCTATTACTATACGTTTTGAAAGATGTTCTGTCAATCAGAATTGAATGAAATAAGACATCGAATTCAAAGCATCGAGAATTACAGTATCGAATAGGGAAATGCTTAAGAGGTAAATATAAGCTAAGATCAAACCCTAAAAATGCGAAGCGCCAATGAACAAACAAAGAAAAACCATGATCCATTTACAAAGCTTATTCATTCCTTTATATAAATGCCAAAAACTTTTCTAGTATGCACCATATGTAATTATTTTTCATTTTTTCATCACAGTCTCGAATTTTAGAGAGCATTTCAGTTGCTTGACCCTTTTCAGTCGGGTTCTAGAAGTTTGTTATCAAAAAGTTCTTCTTGTACATAGATATTGTTACCCTATCATAGAGATAACAGAAATATAGTTTTCGGGGAAAAAAAAGTCGCTTATGTATCCCAAAGCTTCACGTTTCAATTTATCAACAGCCGGTCGAAATTAAGAGAAAAATTTTCATTTTCAATATTCAAGGTGTATGATTTGGTGTAGGTTTTGTTTATTCATAGAAGGAGTACAAGAAAAAATGGTACAATAATAAATAAGCAGTGAAACAAACACATAATGCACTAATAAAACAACAAGATTTACATGAATCATTAAAGATAGTAATTTATTAATGATGATAATCTTTGAAAAAGTTGTTTTTTTTCGGTCAAACAACGTCATAGCCAACATTTTATTGTTTATAGAGCTCAATGATCAAACTTATCTAGTTGATTATTGTTGAGTGAAGAGATTGGGAAGCGCTTTTTCATAATGCAATATAATTGGTTCCATTGAATATGAATTGTAAAATGGATGACCACGTTTTCATTGAAGTTGTGGTTGGGTAGATTCGAGTAAAGTAGTAGACATATTAGTGCGAAAGTCAAATAATAACAGTGTATTATTTTTCGTAACTCGAAATTGTAAAAAATACCGACAATACCAACGTCAAACATTGATAACACTTAGAAGCGACAGAAAAGTCAACTTAAACAAACTCATGTCCTCATTATCCCCAAAGAGTATGTGCTCGCACGTAGTATAGCTTGCTGTCCGCAAGTTTCACAACAAGCAAATAAAATACAGTCACTCTAACAACATCAAAATAGAATAGTTTGACTTTAGTATTATATAAGGAAAAACCTAATCTATTTGCTGAATATTTCCAAAATGGAATCTATGCCAAAGTTCCTGACAAAATAAACCATTTCATCAGCAAGTGACAAGACAAACGAACAACATAAAAACGGAGCTGCTAACACGAAAATAAACAAATGGAAGAAAATCACAATAAAAGAAATTGAATCGAACATAAAGCAATTTCAAAATAGCTCCACTGGGCCTGAAAACATTCACAACAGATGTTTGAGGCATCACACTGAATCACTTATTCAACTCCATATTAAATATGGGTTATATTCCAAATGAATGGAAAAATTCCAACATTATAATCTTCTTAAAGTCCAGTAAAGACATAGACCACCCATCATGCTATCACCCGATTAGTTTTCTTAGTTGTCTCGGCAAACATTGGGAGAAAATAATTAAGCAACGACTGATGGTTATACTTGAACGACGTAACATCGTTCTTGAACATCAAGCCGGCTTCCGATCACGAAAAAGCACCTTAAACAACACCATAAGGTTAACAAAACATGCTCAAAATCATATGCATATATCTGGCTGTCGTCGCTATGCAGCAGTAATATTATTCGATATAAAAGCTACTATTTACACTGTCTGGCACGGTGAACTTATTTATAAATTAAATCAATTAAGGGTGCCACATTATTTGACAAATTATCTAACTTCTTTTGCACAGAATAGAACTACGGTAATCGAAATTGAAAATAAATTATCCAGACCATTCAACTTTAATAGTGGAACTCCACAAGGATCTCCGTTTTCACCATTAGTTTACATAATATATACGGGAGATTCAATGAACGGAATACCACAACATACAGAACATGGTTTATTTACCGATGACACTGTTCTGTGGACATCATGAAACATAATAACAAGCCTTAGTTGTAGGTTACTACAGTCCAGAGATGAATTTCAAAAGCTGGTGCAAATCATGGAAAAGTATAAGCTGCAACTAACAAAAACTAATCTAATTCACTTTACCATACATCCACGAAGAAAGTTTAAGAATTCATTATCAGTCAAAATGGATGATATATCCATTAAACCATCCAATTCAACACATTATTTAGGCATTATTATCGACAAAACGTTAAATTGGAGAAGTCACTTCCATCATATCGAATCGAAAATTACTGGTCGTATCAGTCTACTTCGTGTTTTTTAAAATAGAACAGCTTGCAAACCAAATGAGAAAATTATGTTAAACATCTTCAAATCAATAGCAAGATCGATTATCATCTGTGGTTATCCAATATTACTAACAGCCAAGGACAAAATATGTGAAAACTAACAAATTATGCAAAACAAAGCCATTCGGGCTGCATTAGGATTACCTACATATACATCCGTCGAATATATACACGAAATCGTCAACGTACCCAAAATTAAAGAATATGCAGTTACACTTTTGCAATATTATATTCAAACAGCAACATTAAACAACGACCAAGTATTAAAAAACAATCCACAGGAAATACTTAAGAAAATTTAAAAACAAACCACCTACCCATGTTATTTATTGTATATAGCATCGTTATTATCGATCATTGTCGAACCAACCAAAAACATATAAAAATCGTTATATCGGACTATCCGACTTCAACCTCGCATCATATCACCTCTTTTTCATGAAACATAAGACATTCGTCAAGTGTCTCGCCGTCGTCTCTTTAGCCTTTTACATTTTGTGATCTTTTCTTGTTTTTTTCTTTTTTGTTGTCATCTTAATAAAAGGCTTTGTCTCCAAAACAAAAACATTCATAAAATATAATGAAATCCATGTCAATCAAATCGACATTGCCCATGTGTTGGCGGTAATCTTTTATAACATTTGGTCGTTTAATTTGTACATGTTCTTTTTCGTCTCCTAGCTATCGTTTCTCGTGCTTCAGTATATAAATCTTTTGCATTTTTCGGCATCAAGTGAAATAATTGGTTAGATCTTACAGTAGCAACAACATACATATCCAACGTTTTCAATTCTAAATATAATCGAATAGTTGTACACTAAAATCACAATACAGTTTTTAGATTATTGAATGCGCTACGGTTTCCCATAGTTCAAGAGAAATCTTTGCCTAATACCCATAATAATATTTATTACTTTTATCACCTTCTAACAGTAGAACTTTATAACCGCAATGATTTGATTTATTTGGTATATGTTTGCTTCATTATATTGTTTCTTTTGAAAAGTATCATTTGTTGATCACAGCTTAATTTCTCTTCTTTTGGAATATTTCTTAAATTTGTTTTTTTTAATCGATCTCGATTGGCCAATAAATTTATATGGATTCAAGACATGTTATACCCATCCAAAATTACGGATGTGCTGTGTCGGTGAAAATACCCAAAAACTGGGGTTGATATCACCGACAGTGTGCTTGGTGAAGCCTTGATTGCACTGTCATCGGTGTCACTGACACACTGATTTCGCTGACACCGACTTCACTGAGAACACCGAAAATATTCAGTCAGTGTTCACTGAAGAACTGAAGTTCGGTACACTACATTCTAAAAAAAATCGGTACTCTACTGAACACCTAAAGCAGGTTCCGGAGATTTCGAAAATCATTCAAAGGTGTCGAAAGTCTCAAAAAACGGATAAAAAAATCTACAAAACCTTTTTTGCTGTACGGAACTTAAAAAAAGTTTTCGCAGGAAAAGTTTCTTATTCTGGGTACACCGTAAGAACCTTTAAAGTTTTCGTAGTTTTTTTTCTTTTGCTTTGAGACTTTCGACACCTTTCGACGCTTTTCGAAATCTCCGTAACGTTTTTAGGAGTTCAGTAAAGTACCAATTTTTTTAGATTGTGACCACACCGACATCGGTGTTCAGTAGAACTCTAAGCCACTGCACATGTCAAAGTATACATCTTTGCCAATTTCGATGGTAGTTCGCAGTAGATGATAGTGAAATGTGCACCTCTATTTTGGTCAAGGATATCATAATATTATCTAGTGATACTAAAATTTTAACTAAATCTATGTATTGATTCTGCACAGTGAAGTAGGTGAGATCGAATTCATATGAAAATTGACAAATCGCATTTTAAATGTTTGACTCTGTTGGATTCGTCAACAGAAAGATGAAAGTAGTCCATATTACTTAAGTTAACCAGAATCTGTCTGCGTACCAGTGTTCCCATGAACACCGATTTCGGCGCGGTCAGTGTACCGAACTTCAGTGCTTCAGTGAGCACTAACTGATTATTTTCGGTGTTCTCAGTGAAGTTGGTGTCAGTAAAATCAATGTATCAGTGACACCAATGAGAGTGTAGTCAGTGCTCAGTAAACTGACACTGCACATCCCTATCCAAAATAAATACTGTGCTGGAAAAGTATGTATACCAGTTATTTTTAGCAAACCAAGTAAACTTGCAATTTCTATTTCTGAAACATGAGCCGGTTTGTGCGACTGTGTATGAATAGAATATATAGTTGATTGATCTGTTAAATCTATAATTTATTTATAGTTAGCAAATACGTGAAATTTTCGTTTCAATACCTTACAATAGTAGATTTTCTTCGGTAGGTTTTTATGTAAATAAAAGTCATTAATGACATTGTATGTCTTTTGAGAGTTCAGAGATACTAACACCTTTTTATCCTGATAAAGTGAAACGTGTGAACATTTTCTCAGACGACTTTTGTTATGTCCGTATTTAGAATCACCATTTGGCTTAAGACAATAGAATTATATTATATGATAATTTTTTAGTATGATTATGAAGAAAGCATATTGGTAAAACTACAAAATATAATCCAACTGTTGAATGTGTTTGATTATTAACAAAATTTGTGACTGAAATTTTCAATGATTTGTTTTATATTTCAAGATAAATATATTTTCAATGTTTATCAGCATTCTCATACTTACTTTTTTTTCTAAATCTTCAGTCTGTTTTCCCGCTTTCAAAATTCCTAAATAAAGTTTTATTCAATGATTATTAATCAAATCTTTCACGAAGCCTGCACTCAATCGTTATGATGCATTTTAACAATCATGTTTATCTCGAAACCACAGCTTAGTTTTTTTCATTGAAATCGTTTTTAGTAAAATATTCAAACTCGGTTCTAGTTCATTTTATGGGTATGTTTTTCGTCAACATCTTGAGCTAGATGACTAATGAATGCTTTGTAAACTTAGGATAAATGTCTTTCTATAGCATTGAGGCTTCATATATTTGAAGTTGTTGAACAAGATCAATGTATTACACATAATTTATTCGCGTGAATGTAGATCGATGATAAAATATTATCTATATCTAAATCTGTCCTCTAATAATGGCACACGCATTGGTAAAAAATGACTTTGATAATTGTCACAGTTGTTTACTTTGTTAGTGAAACTTATGTTCATAGGTGTCGTAATCGCTGAGAAAAATCTTGGTAAATGATGTTATGCGTAAATGATAACGCCAGAACTCATATTAAACTGAGCATTGATGAGAGAAGTTATATAAAATAAAAGAAAATAATTGAAAATTACTTTTTACTATTACTCTTTGCTTTGAAAACATAGCTTCTATTATTGTATATATTATCTGAATTTTTGTAGATCGTACCGAAATCGATGACATTGTTTAAATGATGATCTTGCTATCGAAAACAATCTCCATAGCTACCTACCTTCATAGTTTTTACAGCGCCACGTTGTATCTTCAGTAACATTCAACTTATTCGAAATGTTTGAGAAACTTCTTCTTATGACATATAAAGATTTTTTTAGAAGCGTAGTTATTTTCCAACTAACGAAAGTTATTTTTACTCTGTGTGTGACAAATAAAGGAACTGACTCAGTATATAGGATTGAATCATGATGATAAAGTTATAAGCAACCAAGCGCGTCTCTCTATTCACATTTTACTTGGTAATTTCCACGGATGATAGCCTCTGATTGGTATAAATACAACTAAAATATGCTTATTAAATGTATTAATTTATATTATAAACAATAATTATTGCAAATATCATGGCTTTCTTGAATTTAAATTCATTCGATGTCTCCTGTTCGAGTACTCAAGTGCAAGTGCCAGATAACAGCATAGCGAAATTAATGTACTACCTTGACTGTTTATGCACACTGGTCGAATATGACGAATCTGCTCTGAATCGCCTTCGTGATTTTAGAAACTACGATGATTTAAGTGAAGCTGAAATTCGTCTTCTGTATGTCACTTGTGTTACTCTGGATCCTGATGATTTCATTGGGAAAATACTGTTTGAAGACCAAGATGGTGACTTGTGTGGTGCATCCCTCAATCGAATGTTTGATATAGGTAATGTTCGACGAAGTTTGGTAGTAGCTGATTCCATCGTTCTCGCTGGTCGAACTCGTCAAGTGACAAAAGTTATGGTATATCGACCAGAATGGTTGAATAAATTTTATACAAGGCCGATTGCTCAACTAACAGCTATCTTGAATCGTGAGCGTCAACAACAAGCGATCCATAATCTACTGAACACATGCAATATATCTTAAACTACTCGTCACTCATCAACACATATATATATATATATATACAAATATAAACGCGATTCTTTGTTTTATTTTCCAATCTATGTAAAAATTAAGAAATTGACATAATTAAAATCGTTTTTTCAAAACTAATATTTTATCAAAACTAAAGAGAGTTGCAAGATTGAGATATAATTGAATTCGGTAACGATTTTCATGTGAAAGCTCAGTTCTCATCATGATATTCTCCGAATTTTTGTATTCCAGTTAGCATCGATAGTTTGTCAACGATTTAAGTTGATCACGATTGATAAGAACAAAATTGGTTGGCTTGACAGAAAATTAAAAATTTCACGTTTCAATCAGATAGAAATGTTTGAAATCTCAAAAAAAGTGCTCTTCAATAAATAGGGGTGAAACAATTCAGTTTTAGTTTTGATCTGATCTGATCTTTTCGAACAGTTCAGTAGCTCATTTGATCTGAAATTTGCTCTGAGAGCTGTTATACCCCTACTGAGAGTGCATAAGTTTTTCGTTTGCTGCGTGCTAAGTAATGGTGTTACTTTTGATCAAATCAATAATGAAATGAATGACTAAGTTCTACCCAAATAGGCTGCCATCTATTATTTTTTATTTGTGATCACAAAGAGAAACTGGTAGAGTAGCGTTACCGTTATCCTCTTGTGTATAAGATGTCAGTTACACTGCTCCATTCTCCAATGTTCTAGTTCTGTTCCAGTTCTGTGTTTCAACACAATGCAATCGCCTTATATATGCACACGAAAGATAGAACAGAAAAAATATATGATAGACATTTTCACCTTACATTAATTACGTTCAGAAACTTAACCATATTGCGTAATGATATAGGGATAATATTTAGAAGAAGATCAGATACATTAATGATAGTAGTAGGTTGTACAACATCCATGGAGAATAACACATTCTATAACACTGATGAGAAAGTAATAGTCCTGTCTGCATGACAGTCTCAAAGGGTAATTTTAAAAAGTGGACACCAAATATGTGAACAATAAAGGATATCCATGCATTATGGGCACAAACTGATTCATTGTTTTATTATTTCTAAGAGTTATGCTTATAAGTTTTATCTCGTATATCAATGAGATTAATACGTGAGAAAGTGCGTGATTGATAATATGCTTGTTAAGAATTCTATGAAGTTGAACTTGTTAAATGTTTTTCTGTACTGTGAAAAATGACGATATATACTGACTGAAAGAGTGAAAATAATATTTTTTGTCTGGCCATGTATCATTGTGTTGTGTATGCTATTAATGTAATGTATATTACAAGTGTTTACAAAGTCAAGAAAAAATGTTCTAAACAGTTCGTATTAGTGTACTGCACAGGAGTCGGAATCGGAATCAAAAGAAAAAAATTTAGGAGTCGGACTTGAAATCGGAATTGTGAAAAATTGTTTTCAGGAGTCGGAGTCGGAATGAAAAATGGTATCTGACTCCGAAAATTCTATTTCTACTGTGACGAAGCTAAAGGAGTAGAAGATAAAATAATGTTTTTGTGAGTTAACGTTTGAGCTATATTACAACAAAAATCACACCATCTGACTTGCACTTAGATAGAAGTTTATTCATGAGTATATTGTATAATAAACAAAGATATGCTAATTTTAACTTTATAAATAAATCTTAAGCAAAAAAATGTCACAAGAAAAAGATTAACATTAACCATTAGTATAAATAAAAAATAAAATACACTAATCAAGAATATTTTCTTTATTATAATCATTGAAAGTATCGTCGACATCGATACATAGTTGTTTAGGAGCTGTGCAGTTTGATTCTTCAGAAGATACTATTGTTGTCGATAATATCGATGATATGCGTTCCTTATTAATTCGTTTACTTATATATCCTTTCAGAATATCAAACATTTGATATGAATCAGATGTCACTAAGCTGCAAAAAAAGTCGGGTTTTTCCGGAGTAGGAATCGGATTCCAGAAAAGTTTCCTGTCGGAGTCGGAGTTGGAAGCGGAATTGAAAAAAATGCTTTTTTTGGAATCGGGTCGGGTTTAGGAATCAAAAAATGCGACTCCGCTGATCTCTAGTTCGTATGGCATGAATTGTTGATTTCGTGTACTAATATGTTAATAAACCTAACTGGCGCTGTTTCCCAAGCTTGTTAGCAATACGACTAATAGTAATTTTTGATGCATTAAGATTCATTTCAGATAATTCTTGTTGTATCACAGAATATGAATAGTTTTTCGTCAGAAGGTATTTGACTACCCCGTCGGTACGAATTGCTGTCCAAATCCCAAAAGAAAATGTCTCGAAAGACGAAATTTCGAAAAATTAATACTTCGAAAAGCAAAATCAGAAAAAAATTAGATTTTGAACAGAAGAACGACGAATTTTGCTACATCACGTTTCTAAAAAACAAATCTTGAAAGATGTGCTCTCATTCTACGAACACTTGGTCAATATAAAACAAGGTAACGCGACGCTAGCGTCGCCAACCCTCTACCGAAAGGATTTAGTCATGTAGAACGTAGCTATCCTAAACTATCTAGCTGAGAGACTTCACATTTTATAGATTTCAAATGATTTTCATCGAAAACACGATTGATAACCGAGCATAAATAGAAAACATGCTTGGAAGTATGATCAAGAAAACGGCATTTAAGTAGTACTCACTAATACTATATGGCAATAGTAAAGTAAAATGCATCCGATCTGCTACAGCTCAAGCTATGCTCCGAAAACTTTCGATCAGCTTGATAACTGAGTGAAGAAAAAGACCAATTATGCAGAGCTATGATCAAAATACCCCATTTTAGTAAAGTTACAACTCAAATCGGTCTATGAACTAGATATTTAACATGAGTCTGCACGAGTAGATCAGAGATTAAATCAAACTGACCTTTTCTAACTCGATTTCGGTTTTACTTGTCCTCATTTATGCTCAACCTCACGAGGGTTCATTTTGTTTCGGTTTGTTTCCCGTCTAGAATGCATATACTAATTATAGGGTGCACGTTCACAGACAGATAAATTTGAAATTCACATCGTTTGAATCAAATCCACTCGGAATCAGGGAAAACTAAACTTCTTAAGATAATAACGACAAATATAAATTTCAAATATTTCACATGAGCTGAGCAATTATTTCAGGACCTGTCGTCGAAAGAAATTCAGAATATGTCTTATTTTCAAAAGTTGTTTCAACTTTTCTGATCGAGACAACGTATAACTATTCTCTAAGTCTGCAAGGCCTGTGGTCTTATAATGACAAAGGGTTTTTAACTAGTGAGGACGACTAGCCGTGAGTGGCGCTCCGGAGGGGCGCCGACAAACGACTAGCCGTCCCCACTTTTTTTGTCTCATATATGCAGTGAGCATGATTCTTTTAAACCCCACATTATTGATTGAAACCTTTGCCTCATTCTGCAATTATTAGATAAAAACAACGAGAATTTAAAAAAAAGTCCGAAAGCAACAGTTATAGGACTAATTTAATCCAGTTTCATCTACATATGCGATAAATTCATCACAATTTAGAGAAGCATGAGACATGATTCCCGAGTACTCATCCAGTTTGCGTTCGTTCGTACCTACGCGAATCTAGAATTCTAGGGGTTAAGTTTGAATAAATTCTTCGGTCTGCAATGAAAGTTAACATATCAAGAACAAACTGAAGAATTTGAAAAAAGCTTTCAACTTCTTACGAGGGAAGGTCCCTGAGTGTGTCTCTGGGATTTTAACCAAAAGTAAATGGATGTGTCAGGTCAAGCATTGGTATCTCAAATATATACAAATTAGCTGCCCAGCGCAAACGAATCAAAAAATTTAAGTGAAGAAAATTTTTAATACCCTGAGGGGTACCACGAGTACTTTGGCATTAAAAAAATTCGTCCGTGGTACCCCTCAGGGTATTAAAAAGTTTTGGGTTTAAACACCAAAATAGCGTTGTTTTATAAAAACCTTATGTTGAAACGCACATGTTCTCGAATTTTTTTTCATAGGTGGTCATTCCAAGCGCAAGGTTACAAATTATTTTAATTAATTATTAATGAACAAATCCTGAGAAAAATGACTTCGGACGTTGAAAAAGTTAAGAAACAAGCGTGAAAATGCGTAAAATTCGAGTTTTTAACGGATAACAACGCATAAATCGAAATATAAATGTACATCTTTGAACGCTGAAATATTCTAACGCGTTAAAACGCCGTTTTAACGCCGTTTTAACGCGTTTTCTTTAGACATTTGTCTGACTGGGATATTGCGTGTATTCTTTTCATACTTTTAGTTAAAAACGATGAATTCATAAAATATTGATTTCGTTTCTTGAGGGCTGGCAAAGATCCAGAAAAAGTCCACTTTACCTAAAGTTCTGTGAAAAGTCCTTCACCCTCAACCTAAAGTCCTGCCATAGGACCTTACTAGTGATGACACCTGTCCACGGGACTTTGGGTAGGAAAAGTGACATTTTCTCGGAACCTTGTCACTGCTGCGTTTCTTCGGTATTGAATATTGCACTGTCTAGATCAGAGGTGTGCGATCCACGGGTTGAGCCACGCAGGGCCCGTAAGACCCGTGGGGTCGGCGGGGCGGGTCACGGATTTTTTCAAAACTTCGGGGTTGAGCGGTTACGGGTAGCAGTTCATTGACGGGCGAGTGGGGCGGGTGAAATATAAATAAAAGGCACGGGTTTTGGGCGGGACGAGTTCAGATTTACACGGGTACGGGCGGATATAGATTTTTCACGGGGCACGATGAAGGATCGCAAAAAATTAGTGAGGAGCCGTTAGTCTAGGCATGTAGTACGAAATACATATTGATTGGCTCTTTATTATCTGCAAACTTGTTCCTTAGGCTGAAAGGATAGGGTCTGGAAACGGTAATTTTCTTTGTTTGAATCGGTGACAGAGATTGTTTGAGTGTTTTGATCTAGTCTGCGAGGTAAATTGGGCGTTTTAGTGGATTTTATAACTATATTCTTGAGTCTCTTTTTTTCCATTTTTTTTGTAGCTAATTTTC